CTGGAGGGCAGGGAGGGTGTACAGTTTTAGTTCACATCCTCATTTTTTCTGAAAAGGTTAACTTACAGCCAAAATTAAAAAAAAATGTGCTGCCAACACCAAAATGTCCTGAAAATGCCACCAAATGTGTATCACAGTGCATTGCATGGCACGGTGGTGTGCGGCATGTGTTGCCTGTGCGTTGCCCTGGGAAGCCATTTATAATAATTTCATTGCAACACAGCAACATGGGCAACACAATGTAGAACTGGAAATGGGCTATTAGACAAGACTGACATGCAAGTCATGTGCCCATGAAGGCTTACAGCCCCTTTGTGTTGTATTAGCGTGTTACGTGTAAAAAAAAAAAAAATGAGCAAATTGTGTTTTTAGCACACCGCAGGAAGTTTCTGACTTTTAGCCTGTACTAGTTGTATCAATGTAACCCCATTGTGTTTGATGGGTGGTTGTACATTTTCATTATTCAGAAATGTTCTGTGTATGGCTTCAAGGGGCCTATTTTTTCAAAATAAAAAATGGAAGTGGGCAGAGTTGACATGCTAGATTGGTTTGTGGAGGGTAATGAAGACTCAGTCTTTCAATCAGTAGTCCTTTTCTGTGTGAAGCTCGCACTTTTTGTAGATCGCCTATGGTAGCACGATGCATAAGCAAATTATGGGCAGAGGACCTCAGCGCCTTTATGCATTACGTTGTCCTTCTGTTATATTCTTCAGGAGTTTCTTTTGTCTTCTAAGACAGGACAGCTGCACCGATGTGTCCTTTATCCCAAACGCATTGCGAATGCTGGGAGGCAGTAGTTCCGCGTCACTGCAGCACAGGATGCTGGGAAACGGGCTGCCCTCCTGCAGACTGAAAGTCCACGTCCGATCTCCAGAGGTGAGAGATGCATGGCTTCTATTCAATAAGACAAAGAACAGTGTGCAGACTGTTGCAGGACATAGTGACTAGTGATAATGACTAACTGCTTTCTGATTGGCTGTTAGAGTAACTTCCAATTTGGGAAATGAAGCAAAGTTTATGATCCCTTTTATCTGTTCACCTGATTTTACTACCAGAATTAAAAGACTGAAATCTGCTTTTCAATATGTATCCTTTTAGATCAGCCATTCCCAACCAGAGTTCCACCAGAGGTTGTTAGGGGTTTCTTTGAGTTGTGACTGTTTGTTCTCCTGATTCCTGGTGACTGCATAGTTTTAGCTTCAGTGCCGCTTGGCAGGGCCGACAGCATAACACCAATTATCTTTTTAGCTCTTGGTAAGGGTGGCTTTGTGACCGCCAATGTAAGGGACATTCTTCCAACTGACCACCAATGTAAGGGGCATCTTTCCCACTTATCATCAATATAAAGGACATTCATCCCACTGATCACCAATGTAAGGAACATTCTTCCCACTGATCACCAATGTAAGGAGCATTCTTCCCACCGATCACCAATGTAAGGAGCATTCTTCCCACTGACCTCCAATGTAAGGAGCATTCTTCCCACTGACCCCCAATGTAAGGAGCATTCTTCCCACTGATCACCAATGTAAGGAGCATTCTTCCCACTGATCACCAATGTAAGGAGCATTCTTCCCACTGATCACCAATGTAAGGAACATTCTTCCCACTGATCACCAATGTAAGGAGCATTCTTCCCACTGATCACCAATGTAAGGAGCATTCTTCTCACTGACCTCCAATGTAAGGGACATTCTTCTCACTGATCTCCAATGTAAGGAGCATTATTCCCACTGATCACCAATGTAAGGGACATTCTTCCCACTGATCACCAATGTAAGGGACATTCTTCCCACTGACCACCAATGTAAGGGGCATTCTTCCCACTGACCACCAATGTAAGGGACATTCTTCCCACTGATCACCAATGTAAGGAGCATTCTTCCCACTGACCACCAATGTAAGGAGCAGTCTTTCCACTGACCACTGATGTGAGGACATTCTTTTCACTAATCACCAATGTAGGGAGCATTTTTCCCACTGAACACCAATGTAAAAGCATTCTTCCTCCTGAACAACAACATAAAGACTGATGTTCCAATTAATCCCCAATGTATTGTCAGTCTTCCCACTGATCACCAATGTGAGGACATTCTTCCCACTGACCATCAATGTAAGGGGCATTCTTCCCACTGATCACCAATGTGAGGACATTCTTCCCACTGACCACCAATATAAGGGGCATTCATATTAGTGACCACCAATGTAAGGAGCATTCTACTTACTGACCACGAATGTGAAAGCCATTCTTCCTATTGACCACCAATATAATGTAATTTTCACACTGACCATCAGTTTAAAGGAATTCTTCCCACTGACCACCAATGTGAGGACATTCTTCCCATTAATTACCAATGTAAGGAGCATTCTTCCTACTGATCACCAGTGTAAGGGCATTATTCCTACTGACTCTCAATGTAAGGGACGTTCTTCTCACTGACCACTAATGTAAGGAGCATTCTTCTAACTGACCACGAATGTGAAAGCCATTCTTCCTATTGACCACCAATGTAATGTCATTCTTCCTACTGACCATCAGTTAAAAGGCAGTTCTTCCCTTTGGCCACCAGTGTAAGGGCATTGTTCCATCTGACCTGTAATGTGAAGAATTTTTTCCCACTAATTACGAATGTAAGGGCCATTCTTCCCACTGACCGCCAATGTAAGGGGCATTCTTCCCAGTGACCACCAATGTAAGGAGCATTCTTCCCACTGACCACTGATGAATTATTTTTAGCAGGGGTTCCCTGACACCTCAAAGTTATTTCTGGGGTAAAAAGGTCTGAGAAAACTGTTTTAGATATGCTGCTGGCATAAGGACGATATACCATCTAACAAAAAAAAAAGTATCACAATTTGTAGAGCTTCAACAAGAAATGTCACTGTGCGGATGCAGACACAAAGACCTGACCTGCACTATAGATACTTACAGGTGTAACTTACCACACCTAATTGACCCCACAGAGATTACTTATGTCAATATGCACTTTTTGTGTGTAAGCAGGAGGATATTCCAGTGACAACCCATTGCTCCTCTGACAGTTCCAACTGATCCCACATTCAGGCTTGCCACACCAGGTCCCTTATAGATCTGTGGATTTCCCCAATGCAATACCGAACATGAATATCACTATGAAAAAGGAAGCTTCGGACTGTAAACATTCCTTCCACTATAGTTTTATTTATATATGTGCAAAACAAATGTTCACAATTAAATCCAGCATAAATCGTCAGGCCCTGTTGATGTCAATTATGAAACGCGTAGAAAGGAGCCTTGTAGATTGACACTAACTCTCCATTTTTAACATGAACTGCTTGTCCTGCAGTTTCATACTGGTTTTTATTGTGAACATTTGAATTGCATATATCTAAAAAAAATATACAGTAGATGGTGTCACAGATCGCACGGTCGTCGCCACCAACATGCGACAATCGCACGACCGCGACTAACACTAATACGTCCCGCCCGCGGCGTCAGACCCCAGACCTCACCAACTCGTGACCGAAGGACCGGCCGATCTAAAACCACGGTGTGACGCGCGTAACAAGGCCCCACCCAGCTGCACCCTGCACAGCGATTGTCCAGCTAATGGGCTACAATCGGTGCCTGCAGCCTGAATGCGCTTGTTACTGGGTCGGGTTAATTACGCAACTAACCCTTTCAAACTGCCACCACCGTCTTTGGTACAGAGAAGACGGAAACTCTGTCAGAAATACACTATAATGATTGAAAAGTCACCTGTCCAATATGGTCAACTACAGGCCGATTGGGCAGGGAGTAAACAAACACAGTAGCGTCTCTTCAAAAGGCAGGAATTCGTGAATTGCAAGTAAGCGCTTAAAAACAGTTTAACACTTTCAGAAAGAAAGATTTATTACTAAAAGAGTCAAACAGGTGCAATACAATATTTACAAAGAGATATCACGAAAATATAAATATATGTATATAAAGATACAGCAAAGAGATATTAGGAAGAAAGTTACAGGGTTAAGTTACTTGCCCATATGCCTTGGTTTGCAGATCCAAGTTGCAGAGCAGGATGATTCTTTGATCTCCTTTTGTTACAATGTTCAGCTGAGGAGATGTGTTAAAAACTAACTTCTAGGCTTGCTAGCCTGTCTCTTTTTTTAAAAATCCCTCTGAAAAGGGGGTTACTCTGACTATGTGTTGGGAGGGGTCAGGAGAACTCTGAGTTAGAACCCACATCTGTAATAATCCATGACATGAAACATGGGGGGAAAGCCTGACTTGAGGAATGTTCAATTAACTTTCAAGTCCGGGGAGAAACTGCATTATCTGTTTTTATGATGGGTGAAAAAGGTTACACTTACACAGACGGCTGGCACCAAACTAGGAATGGCTAGCCTGTGGTTGACCCCCCTTCCCATCTGTCAGGAGATAACGTTTACCTCTCAGGAAGGGAGGGGGTAGGGAGTGTGAGGAATACTCCACTAAAAGAAAGAAAAAGGGAACTCCGCGTCCAACTCTGATGAGCAAGTTTGCTACAGATGGTACTTCTACTTGTCTGGAGTTTCCTTTTTCATGGTGTTATTAATGTTTGGTATTCCATTGGAGTTTTCCAGGGATCTATACATGACCTGGTGTGTAAATCAAGCAGAAGGATGGTCCAGGGACCATGGTGCTAGTGATGTTTGGTAATATATTGTAGTGATCCACTGATCTATATGGGACCCAGTGTTGCAGACCTGTCATAGGATTAGTCAGAGCATTCTCAGTTGGTGGAGTGTCAGGATTTCCCTGGACCTATCTTCCACTTCAGTTACACGCCATGAGTGCATATGGACCTCATTCCCTCTATTGGGTCAATTAGGTTCAGTGAGTTGCACCTGAAAGCGCTAAGGTGGAGGTCACATCTCTTATCTGCATCCTCATTTGTAGACGTATGATCATTTTTTTCTGGGTAACTCTCCTTTGTTGCATTTCAGTGCCGACATGAAAACAACGTGCCTTCGCCATCCCCTGATATCTGCCCTCCTGAACTCACCATTTCAGGTAAGACTCACAGAAGACGCTGTATCTTCAGTACATTATTATAGTAACACTGACCTGTTTCATATTTAGATTTGTAAATGCTGCCTCTAGTGGCCATCTGTATATCAGAGATTGAGGTTAGCCTCCCTGTTGATTTACTGCTCAGTAAGGATAAGTGAAATTGGGAGTCCTTGCCCTGCTGAAACGTATGAGAAAAATTGGGACATTTTGCTTAGCATTGTCAGCCTGAATCAGAATCATCGTAAAAGAATAATTTCTTAACTGGGGATCCTGCCAGTAATAGCACTTCCTGTTGCATGCTGACATTGCTAACCAACTGACTAACAATTAGCAGCAGCAATGTCAGCATGCTGTGCTGTTCCATCATGTGGCCATTGGGCTGCTTAAAATGTCTATTAGACAGACAGCCCATTGGCCAACTGCAGGATCTTGAATGAATGGCTGACATCACTACTGGTAATTGCAAGGTAATGCCTTAGCATTGTCAGCCTGCAACAGGACGTGCTACTGGTGGGATCTGTAGTAAAGAAACACTGTAATAGATTTTCAAAAAAACGATTTGCTTAATAAATCTGCATATTGTGAGGACTAATGCCAAATGTACTGAGAAATACATTTAGGGTTCACATGTATTTAAGGATTTGTGGGTTCAGTTTTGGATTTGGTGATGTTTTTTTGTCCCAGCCCGTAAAGTGTGAGAATTTCTGGTAGATATTGATTGAGAGCTGTTCTTATTGTTTAATTTTTCTTTGCAGTTCCCATATCCTCACCAATTCACAGGCCATCATCTCTCAAGCAAAAAGTCATGCTGGATCCCCATGTCCGGATCAAGGAGGAGAAACTAGACCTGGTGGGCGCTATAAAGAGATTTGGAGCCCTGGAACATTCACTGTGTATACAGTTGATGGATTTTATATGATCCAAGACTAACCAGTCATTATTCTGCACTTCAGGTCTTGCAGTTTCTGGGTTGGAGGTTTCAGAAGAGAAGAGGAGAGAGATCCATCAGAGCCTAATCACTGACTGCCAGGGCACCATGAGCTATGGAGGTATCTGCATATGTACTATACTACGCTAGCCGTTCACATATAAAACATTATAGCAAGTTAGGAGAATAGACTTCAATTCTTTAAAATGCCAATTTCTGACTAGTGTTCTTTGATTGAATGCTATTAAAAATTATAAAACCGTGTTGCTTTTATAGGCAATTGGTTAGCCCTAGAACGATACAAAGTCACAAGCACTGCAAAAAAATATTTACTTATTTATTGTGAAGACAGCTTCACTTAAGTCAAAGAATACATGTTTTGGGTCCCTTCAGGGACCCTTCCTCTAGGTCAGACTTCTCCTAACTTTCTAAAGGGCCAGTTACTGTCCTTCAGACTTTAGGAGGGCGGACTGGGGTTTTTGGGAGTAAAAAAATGCCTCAGGCATTGAGAGCTCCAGGCGCTGAGACCCCCTTTATAGTTCTCTTCTCTACAGTCGAGCTAGGGACACCTTCCTTTAAACTTTAAATGGGGAATTATTAAACACCCAAGCACCCCCGGATGGCCTTGCTCTGCCTCCCCCTTTATTCAATAGCTCTTTCTCCCCATGGTTTAGGCTTTGTAGGCTGTGACTCAAGACTAGATGGACCAATGTAATAGCCCAATAAATCTTATACCTTCTCTCTCTTTGACTTCTCCCTTACTCTTCTTCTTTTTTCCTTTTCCTGCCCCCCCCCCTTATTTAAAAACTATATCCTCTCGATTTGAGTATACACTTATAATGGGTACATTGGCATTCTATAGTTCATTTTCCTAGTACTGCACATGTGGCACACTAATGGACTCTGGGCCCTTATGCTTCATCTTGGCTGCGGGTTTGACTGATTACATATGCTGTACTGGAGCCGTCATTTGATACTTTCATATCATACGCTTTTTACTGTATTATTGTAAAATGTCAATAATCATATATCCAAACTAAAAAATGCCTCAGGCTTGGTGGTCAGTAGGGGTAGAATAATGACCCCATCGTAAGGGTCAGTGAGAGGAGTACTGCCGCATCATTGGGATCAGTCGGAGAAATAGTGTCCCATCATTTGGGTCAGCGGGAGGAATAGTGCCCCGTCATTAGGGTAAGTGGCAGGAATAGTGCCCCATCGTTGGGGTCAGCGGGATGAATAGTGCCCCATCATTGGGGTCAGTCGGAGAAATAGTGTCCCATCATTTGGGTCAGCGGGAGGAATAGTGCCCCATCATTGGTATCAGTGGGAGGAATAGTGCCCCATCATTGGTATCAGTGGGAAGAATAGTGCCTCATCGTTGGGGACAGCGTGATGAATAGTGCCCCATCATTGGGGTCAGTCGGAGAGAAATAGTGTCCCATCGTTTGGGTCAGCGGGAGGAATAGTGCCCCATCATTGGTATCAGTAGGAGGAATAGTGCCTCATCGTTGGGGTCAGCGGGATGAATATTGCCCCATGGTTGGGGTCAGTTGGAGAAATAGTGTCCCATCATTTGGGTCAGTGGGAGGAATAGTGCCCCTTCTTTAGTGTAAGTGGGAAGAATAGTGCTCCATCGTTGGGGTCAGCGGGAGGAATAGTGCCCCATCATTAAGGTCAGCGGGAGGAATAGTGCCCCATCATTGGGGTCAGTGGGAGGAATAGTGTCCCATCATTGGTGTCAGTGGGAGAAATAGTGCCCCATCGTTGGGGTCAGTGGGAGAAATAGTGCCCCAATGTTGGTATCAGTGAAAGGTATAATGTCCCATCAATGGTGTCAGTAGGAGGAATGATGCCTCATATTAGTAGGAGAGAAAGTTCCTCAGATAAAGGCAAGCAAAGGGCCGCATTTGGTCCGCAGGCCACAGTTGGAGACCAATGCTCTAGGCAGTCACACGCTTTAAAGTAGGAGTTCTATTAATCCCCAAAATGTCTGTATTCTTTGATTTATGTGACCTGTCTTCAGAAAAAATACACATTTATTTGGTAATAAATACACATTTATTGTGCTTGTAACTTTGGTTTTTCAATTCAGTTTTGGCATGACACTATCAGCTGCAATCACATCAAGCAATCATTTAAAGGTCAAGTACCAAAAGGAGTTCAGCTTCAAATTTTGATAGTTATTAAGTTGTTTAGCTGTGTCTCTTCTGTTCAGACTTGCTGCAGGTTCTCCGTGACTGTCTGCAGGATGAATTGGAGGAGGCAAGCCTAGATGCCAGCTGCCTGCTCTTCACCCACTGTGAAGTGGCCAACTTACTCGACACTTCAGCATTCCACTCCCTGGTCACCAAGGTGCGCTGCTGCCTGCCATTACCTAACCAACACCTATTATAGGTGGAACTTCAGCCTGTCATTTCCTGACTGTCATCTATTATGGGTGGGGTTATAACTTTCTGTTGGGAGGTGATAATAGTGTGGATCGTTTACTATGGCCTTGACTTTGGAGTGAAATGGTGGTACATGACAAAGGACATTGTTTGGTATGAAACATGTTGCAGCGGCAAATGGTCAAAGACAGTTAATATAAAACCCCACTTTCCATTTTGTGATTAAAACACCTTTTGCTTTTTTTGTTCTTAACTCCCTTCTAGATCAGCTAAATATTTTGCAATAAATTGATCAATGATCAAACTCTTGTCATGGAGGCTGCCATTGATGACCTCTCCATCTGAACATTCTTGTTTCCTGGCTGTAATGCTCAACCTCTTTCTTCAATATCGTAATCAGCTTTTCTCAACCCTTTTACCCCAGAGGATCCCTTGACATAGGTTTCATGTCTTGGGGGACCCCAGCTAAAACTAAATAATTGGAGTGAGAGGGAAGAATGTTTGTTACATTTATGGTCAGTGTATGTTTCCTGTACAGAGGTGATCAGAACGCCACTATCAGATAAAAAGATGGTTGGTGTCATACTGCTGGCTCTTCCAAGTGGCATTGGGTCCAGGAATATGGAGGCACTATCAGGTGAAAGATCCATGAGCCACATTCAAAGAACTCCTATCAACCTCTGGAGAAACCCTAGGGTTGAAACTCAGTACAAAGTTACTAACAGAGGAGGTAATTTCCAAATAGGGAGCATTCCTGAAAGTGTGACCATAGTGATGACAGACCATGCAACTGCTCTGGTTTCCAACAATGTTTAGCTACACATTGATTTATACATTTTAGTAAAATGACCGTATAATTAGTTTTGGAAAAACTTCACAATTGCTATTAGAGCAATTATTATTTTGTATTGTAAAACGATGGAGATTGGAGAGTACAGGGCTCCTAAATTGTTTTGCTATGGGGCACCATCACACATAGCACCCTGAAGGTTCCATAGAGATTTAAAGATGGGTTACTGTTCAGAGAAATTACAACAGATATGTCTAATTTTGATGTGTCCTCCTTATAATGTGCAGGAAGAAGACTTACCAAGGTTCTCCCGAAGCTTAGAACTGGAACAGCTGCAGGACGAGGTATCAGAATTGAGGCAAGAGGTCCGGCGTCTGAAGGTGAGTGTTAGCACAGGAGGGTCATTTAGAGTACCTTTAGTTTTGACGTTATTGCTGCAAAGAGGTAGGTAGGTAGCTTAACTAGATTGAGGAAAAGTATTTTCACCTATGTTCAAATTGGGGAAATTTAACTTTACTTCCTTTCCCAGAGACACAGGACAAAACATGGACATTTTTTCAGCATATCATTGAGTGGAATTGTTTTTTATTTTAATTCATTTAGGTTTCTTTGAATTTTTAGGCACTGTTGGTAGAAGTGGAAACCAGTAAGAAAGTGACAGAAGAGGAACTCCAAAGGATGAACCAGGTGAGCACAATCTTCTCAAGCCTTAAAGCCAAACTCAAGCAAAAACATACTATTTAGTTATAAACAGAGCATAGAAGGCACCTTTTTGGGTGTGTTGATTGCTTTCTTGGTCAGGGAGATTTTAACTTACGCCCTCATCAAAAATATTTTATAAACTGGAGTTAGGTTGTAATACGAGCCTCAGGAAACAGGTCTGAAATCTTAATATATCAAACCTGGACATTTTTTAGAAAGTCCTTGGACTCCTGTCTGAGAATCGCTGTCTTCACAACAAATTAGACGTGGCAGACGCAGCCCAGCAACAGGCTCACAGTGCTGAACATGACTACGAGGAGGTCATTCATCTTCTGGAACTGAAATTACGGAGCTTAAGAAACAGTTGTCAGGGAAGAAGATGATGACTCTGGAAGTCAACGAGGTAAGAGAATATTAATGTATCTTCCAGGGGCGGACTGACCATTTGGAAACTTGGGCACTGCCCGAGGGCCCGGGGTCAGTAGGGGGCCCCATGAGATGCCCCTGGTACCTTTTTCATAGGCTTTTTTGAGTTTGGGTAAGGACACAGGGGCCCCATGATCCCCTAGTGTCCGGGGGCCCCATGAGTTGTCAGTCTGCCCCTGGTATCTTCACATACCAATGTCAGTTATCTTTGGGCATTCACAAGTATTCAGTTAAAGTAAACATACTAGGAGGGAACAATTATGCAAATTTAGGTCAAACCGTGGTAAAAGAAAGCACACATTGTATTGGGTTACTGGCAACTGGTGTTTTTTGGTCTTTGGGCATGGTCTATCAAACTGAGTAGGTTAAAAAGCTGACCTCCCTTGGATGACCCAAGTCTACTGGCTTGTACACACTATCCTATAGCATTTACATAAATATTGGCATTTCTTTTTGAATCTTTTACAATGCCTTTGGATAAAAAATGACTCAGTCCTATTGTAATCTCAACTGCAGCTGTTATTGCAAATAGAAATCAGTATTGTTTTCACACATTTAGAGGTCAGGCTTGCAGACCAGTAGCTATAGCAGTAGAGAGGCTGGATATGTGCAGCAGCAGGTTACCCTGGTGGAAGACATGGGTTCACCCCCAGGTGCAGAGTCTTGGAACTAACTGGTGTACACCAAAGCTCCCGATGGTGAAGAAGGGTTTTGCTGTATGTTAGTAGCAAGTCACGGTCCTCAGGATTGCCCACCAGGAGGTGAGCAAGCCAGGGTCCAGTAGCAGATATAGCAGGTAGGGATCAAGCAGAAATGTAGTAAGTAAACAAGCCAAAGGTCATAAACAAGTGGTCGCAGGTTGGGATTAAGCAGAAGCGTAGTTAAGGAACAAGCCAAAGGTCAACAACGTGTGGTAGGGGAGATACGGATGGCAGCAGGAGTGAAAAGAGCGAGATGTTGGAGATATTAGATGGAGACCACAATAATTTGGAAAACAGGAAGTGCAAAGGCATGGCTAAAATAGGAGGTTCATGGTAGGAGCAAACGGTTCAAGGTTCAAAAGAAAATCATGGTTCAAGGCAAGATCTTCAAGGATTTGTCCAGTAAGCTATCCAGGATCCCAGGTGACTCAGCAAGAAAAGACATCACCAGACACAGCAGAGGGCACAGATTCAGACCCTGGCCCTGACAATTGTATCCCATACCAACATACGAAAAATACCCATGAAGGCAGAAAGCCATGACTAAAAAGCATAGAGGAAACTACAAAGGCTTGTAATAAATGATATATTTAAAAACTAAATTACTTCTAGAGTTAAGTCATTCATTTAGGAAATGATTTAAATGGTGTCCCCTTTTTAGGGTTTGGATTTAAACAGACGGTTATCATTGTCAGATTGTCAGTTGCGTAAATCTGAAATCACTCGCAAACACCTGGAAGTGTCTAATAAGAAACTCCTCAACTTTGTACAGGTAAGTTTGATAACTACCATCAAGACTCACTTCAACTTCCTTCAAACATGTCACTCAATGATGCACCCTTCTATTGACCATGTCATTGCTGTGTTCATTTTCCAGTGCCAGTTTTTATATGGATACATACTCAGTCTACTCCCAACCATTTTTTTACACCACTGCAACTTTGCAACCGTTCAAGGTTAAGGTCCCAACTAGTCTACATCATTGCACTTCTGTCTTCTCCCAACTGGTCCAACTTACTGCACCTCTGTCTTCTCCATCCGGTCCAGCTGATTGCACCTCTGTCTTTTGTTTTCTCCCAACTGGTCTACATCACTGAGATGGTGCAGTGATGCAGATTGGTTTTCTTTTCTCAATCAGTCTACATATCCACACCTTAAACTTCCACCAAACATCTGTTGCTCAATGTTACACCTTCTATTGACCATGTCATTGCTCTGTACATCTGCTAGTGTCTATCTTTATATAGATAAATGTTCAGACTACTTTTCACCATTTTTAATTTATTTACGACACCTTCCCAACCATCCAGGTTTATGTCCCAACCAGTCTACATCACTGCACCCTGTATTCTCCAACTGGCCTGACTCACTACACCTCTGTCTTCTCCCAACTGATCCACATCATTGAGATGGAGTAGTGATGTAGACTGGTATTCTTTTCCTCATCAGCCTACATGTCCACACCTTCAACCTTCACTGGACATCTGTTGCTCAATGGTGCACCTTCTATTGACCAAATTATTGCTCTGTACATCTTCCCCACCAGTCTACATCTCCACACGTTTGTCTTCTACCAGATGATCTACACTGCTCAAAAAAATAAAGGAACACTTTTTAATCAGAGTATAGCATCAAGTCAATTAAACGTCTGGGATATTGATTTGGTCAGTTAAGTAGTAGAGGGGGTTGTTAATCAGTTTTGGCTGCTTTGGTGTTCATTCAATTAACAACAGGTGCACTAGATGGGTAACAATGAGATTACCCCCAAAACAGGAATGGTTATACAGGTGGAGGTCACTGACATTTTGTTCCCTACTCATCTTTTCTGACTGTTTTCACTAGTTTTACACCTCAGACTGTCCAGGAGCTCAGTGATGCCCTGGTCCAGATCTGGGAGGAAATCCCCCAGGACACCATCCGTCATCTCATTAGGCGCATGCCCCAACGTTGTCAGGCACGCATACAAGCATGTGGGGGCCATGCAAACTACTGAGGACCATTCTGAGTTGTTGCAATGACATTTCAGCAAAATGGACTCGCCTGCTGCATTATTTTTTCACTTTAATTTTCAGGGTGTCTTTGAATTCAGTCCTCTGTAGGTTGATCATTTTAATTTCCAAAAAACAATGGAGCATCCTTATGTTCCTAACACATTACCCCGTCCATATCAGTATAGATATCAAGCAGGAGATTTTTCCCCATTGAGATCTGATGGGTTTTCAAAGTGTTTATTTAAAAATTATGAGCAGCATATATCACTGTCCTTCCTATACAGTCTACCTTAACGCATCTCAACTGGTCTTCCTCACTCCACCATGAATATATGCCATGGTACATATCTAACATCACTAACATTCCTTATCCCTTCATCTTTCACCTTCTCTTAAATAATCTACATCTTTATCCACTATACTCTTCTATACTTATGTCTCCTACCATACACCTCCACCTCCTCTCTTCTTTAACCTGTTGGAAATGTTTATTTTTGACTTTTTTTCAGGTAGCTTTCTGTGAGTTCACACAATGTTTTTTTTTTTTCTTGAAGAAAATTCAGACACTTCTAACTTCAGTCCAGCTACATGATGAGAAAAGGTATGGTTTGTTTCCTTTACCATTATCACTTTGCACATTTATTGCTGTGCTTGTGCCATATTTATTCAGATAGAACATGGATGCAGGACGTGGCGGGGTTGCAGAGGCTTCTAGCTTGTGAAAAAAACCTTCCCCAGGGGCGGACTGACCATTCGAGCACTCTGGCACTGCCGAGGGCCCGGGGTCAGTAGGGGGCCCCATGAAATGCCCCTGGTACCTTTTTTTTATAGGCTTTTTTGGGTGTGCTTTGAGTCTAGGCAAGGACACAGGGGCCCCATGATCCTCTATTGCCCAGGGGCCCCATGAGTTGTCAGTCTGCCCCTGCTTCCAACCTTTACTTGCAGCCTTACATCAAGAAGCTTAGAAATGACCTACCTTCAGATCATTTGAATCCACTGGATTAAATTACATTCACTTTGACATCCTCTAAAAAAAAAACCTTTGTAATAACTTTCCATGTTGTTTTTGCTATTATACAGGAGTACAGCCCTGGCCAAAAGTTTTGAGAATGACACAAATATTAATTTTCAGAGTCTGCTGCTTCAGCATTTTAGACCTTTTTGTCAGATGTTACTATGGAATACTGAAGTGTAATTACAAGCATTTAATAAGTGTCAAGGGCTGTTATTGACAATGACATTGAGTTTATGCAGTCAGTATTTACAGTGTTGACTCTTCTTTTTCAAGGCCGCAGCAATTCGCTCTGGCATGCTGCAAATCAACTTTTGGGCCACATCCTGACCGATGGCAGCCCATTTTTGCATAATCAATGCTTGGACTTTGTCAGAATTTGTGGGTTTTTTATTGTTCACCTGCCTCTTGAGCATCGACCACAAGTTCTCAATGGGATTAGGGTCTGGGGAGTTTCCTGGCCATGGACCCAAAATTTTGATGTTTTGTTCCCCAAGCCACTTAGTTATCACTTTTACCTTATGGCAAGGTGCTCCATCATGCTGGAAAAGGCATTGTTCATCACCAAACTGGTCTTGGATGGTTGAGAGAAGTTGCTCTCAGAGGATGTTTTTGTATCATTCTTCATTCATGGCTGTGTTCTTAGGCAAAATTGTGAGTGAGTCCACTCCCTTGTCTGAGAAGCACCCCACACATGAATGGTCTCAGATTGCTTCACTGATGGCATGACACAGGACTGATGGTAGCACTTACCTTTCTTCTCCAGACAAGGTTTTTTCCAGATGCTCCAAACAATCAGAAAGGGGATTCATCAGAAAAAAATGACTTTACCCCAGTCCTCAGCAGTCCAATCCCTGTACCTTTTGCAGAATATCAGTCTGTCCATGATATTTTTCCTGGAGAGAAGTGACTTCTTTGCTGCCCTTAACACCAGGCCATCCTTCAAAAGTCTTCGCCTCACTGTGAGTGCAGATGCCCTCACACCTGCCTGCTGCCATTCCTGAGCAAGTTCTTCACTGGTGGTGCCCCAATCCCGCAGCTGAATCAACTTTAGGAGATGGTCCTGATGCATGCTGGACTTTCCTGGGCACCCTGAAGCCTTCTTCACAACCACTGAACCTCTTTTCTTGAAGTTCTCGATGATCCAGTTGATTTAGGTGCAATCTTAGTAGCAATTTTGCCTGTGAATCCCTTTTTGTGCAAAGCAATGATGACTGCACAAGTTTCCTTGCAGGTAACCATGGTTAACAGAGGAAGAACGATGATTTAAAGCACCGCCCTTCTTTTAAAGCTTCCAGTCTTTTATTCAAACTCCATGAGCATGACAGAGTGATCTCCAGCCTTGTCCTCATCAACACTGACTCCCGTGTTAACAAGAGAATCACTGACATGATCTCAGCTGGTCCTTTTGTGGCAGGGCTGAAATGCAGTGCAATTTTTTTTTTTTGGATGAAGTTAATTTTTATGGCAAAGATGGACTTTGCAATTAATTGCAATTCATCTGATCACTCTTCATAACATTCTGGAGTATATGCAAATTGCCATTATAAAAACTGAGGCAGCAGACATTGGGCAAATGAATATTTGCGTAATTCTCAAAACGTTTGGCCACGGCTGTAGTTATATTTGTTGTACCATGAATGAATAATGAATAAAGCGAGCGCTCAGAAAAACCAGCTGCTGGAACACTTCAAGGAATCACTAAACCTCATAATAGAGACAATATATACATATAGTGCAGCGCTGAAAAAGTATAAAAAATGAAATGTGTAAAATATATATATATATATATATAAAAGTCTTTCTTATGACAAATATAGTCAAATATGTGCAGGTCTTCTCCTCATTAGGTGACTGGAAAATAACAAGATTGCGCACTCACCGACCGCACATTTAAAATGCGCCTGTGTATGATATATTCCAAAAGACCAGCCAGGTATACAGCTCCAGAGACCACACGGATCCTCCCTCTCCAACACTCTCGTTTGCCTTGGGTGTAGCAATATCTCCAGATCCAAAGGTAGAAAGACAGAGATCCCCCTTTTTTGGTTCCAGACACCCCAGGAATGGAAGATGTGTATCTGCACTCTCCAACAGGAGAGTCAAAGAAAAAGGGGAACGCCAATAGTGTGGTACTATCAAAAAACTTTATTGGAGCAATAATGCCTGGGTCATATGCACACATATATCCATACACCATAAGCCAATAACGGACAGGTAGGTATGAAAGGAAATAGTAGTACTAACCCGGCAATGGCATAAAAACAAAGACCACCAGACCTCCTCTTGGTCCCAGTGGTCTGGAAGTCACACTTGCTACTTGGCTCCTCCTGAGGCCTTTCGTGCAAAAAGCACTTCTTCAGAGGATGGACGCCACTAGCAGTGTGACAGCCAGACTTCCATTTAAACGCCGATCGCGCATGCGCGAAAATCCCGCTCTATCGTGAAAAGCGGTACTGCGCATGCGCGAACAGCGGCCATCTTGCCGTGGATCGCGGCTGTGCAGTATCAAACTGCGCATGCGCCACCCAATCGCCGCCATATTGCCATGGATCATAGGCAGCAAGAAAAAAACTGCTGCTGAAGATTAACCCATTAGAGAAAAAAACGAACAAGTGACCTCACACTAAGGTGCTCTATTATTATATGGATAGAAGCAGATACCTGCCCACCCCAAAGGGAAGCATTAGGAAGGCCCAACCTGGAGTAATAAATCCAAGTAAGAAATATATATATATATATAGAGGAATGCACCAAATAAGTGCCGCAAGAGCCCTCTCAGGAAATCACTAACACCATGGCAAAAGGGGCTTATGCATCATCATACAAAGAATAAAGATGATGATGATAAACTGAACTCTAAAAATTATGCACATATAAAACTTCTGAATGCCCCAAAATCATTCGGTAAGCAGTCACATTCTGAAGAGGCTTAAAGGATAATAGTCAAATTCTAGATCACAACACGTCTTATATTATAGACTAATATGTAAAGGTCAAGCGATCCAATATAAACCTAATCACAATAATTCCGACTTTCTATATAGTTTCGGAACCATAACTCAAACACCTAGAATGGGGTTATTAAAACGAACTAAAAACCTGATCAAATAAAATTACGATAAAAAACACAGCGCTATACTAAATAACAGAATCATCATATCCTAGCTGTTGGCAATAAAACAGTTTTATGTCTACCTCCACATTATGTCCCTGAGGGTAAAGGGTGCGTAATTCGTAGACCCAGCGGGTCTCGGCCTGCGAGACTGTTCTGGTCTTGTGAAGTCCCCTCCAATGTGGTGATACCATTTCTATACCCACAAAACCTTAAAGAATGGGATCACTATTATGGAACCGTCTGAAATGATTAGATAACGAATGATCCCTGTAACCTTTTCTTATGTTGGCCACATGCTCCCGCAGACGGTCCCTTAGGCGTCTAGTTGTCCGCCCCACATACTGCTTATTGCAGGACAACTGAGGAGGTAGACAACATACTTGCTGTTACACGTTATACACTGCCTGATAGTATAGGACTTCCCTGTTGATGTTGAAGTAAACATATCTACTTTCCTCTTACGAGATTTGTCACATCTGCATATGATGCATTTGTTGCATGGATAGAATCCCTTTAAATCCCCAAAAAAAGAGATTTTTGAAGGGGGATTTACAACATTAGGAGCAATACGGTTTCTCATAGCCGGAGCCCTCCTAAACATAATTTCAGGCTTGTTGGGTAATATTTGTGAAAGGATAGGGTCCATTCTCAAAATATCCCAATTCTTCCTTATAAGTTTTCCCACCTGTTTATATTGTATTGAGAAAGTTTTACAAAGGGACACACCTTTTCATTTTTCTTATGTGGTTTATGTGAAAGCATCCCACTCCTATCCATGTCAGCAACTTTTGTCAAGGACTCATCAAGTTCGGGTTCTTTATATCCTTTTTCGAGAAATCTATTCTTAAGGATGTTCGCTTGGGACCAATAGGTCTCAAGATCTGTGCAGTTACGTCTTATCCGAGTGAATTGGCCCTTTCGGGATGTTTCTCAGCCAATTTGGATGGTGACAGCTACTTACAGGAATATAGCTGTTACGGTCGGATCCCTTAAAGAAGGACTCAGTAACTAACCTCTCGTTATTCTTCTCAAGCCGGAGCTTGTATTATACAGGCGTTACATTGATGACATCCTCCTCCTCTGGAATGGAGAGGAAAGTGCCCTTAATAATTTCTTTACAACGCTGAATAATAACACCCTAAACATTCATCTGACATATGCTTATAGTCAACAACAAATAAATTTTTTGGACCTTACGCTTAAGAAGAATAACGAGAGGTTAGTTACTGAGTCCTTCTTTAAGGGATCCGACCGTAACAGCTATATTCCTGTAAGTAGCTGTCACCATCCAAATTGGCTGAGAAACATCCCGAAAGGCCAATTCACTCGGATAAGACGTAACTGCACAGATCTTGAGACCTATTGGTCCCAAGCGAACATCCTTAAGAATAGATTTCTCGAAAAAGGATATAAAGAACCCGAACTTGATGAGTCCTTGACAAAAGTTGCTGACATGGATAGGAGTGGGATGCTTTCACATAAACCACATAAGAAAAATGAAAAGGTGTGTCCCTTTGTAACAACTTTCTCAATACAATATAAACAGGTGGGAAAACTTATAAGGAAGAATTGGGATATTTTGAGAATGGACCCTATCCTTTCACAAATATTACCCAACAAGCCTGAAATTATGTTTAGGAGGGCTCCGGCTATGAGAAACCGTATTGCTCCTAATGTTGTAAATCCCCCTTCAAAAATCTCTTTTTTTGGGGATTTAAAGGGATTCTATCCATGCAACAAATGCATCATATGCAGATGTGACAAATCTCGTAAGAGGAAAGTAGATATGTTTACTTCAACATCAACAGGGAAGTCCTATACTATCAGGCAGTGTATAACGTGTAACAGCAAGTATGTTGTCTACCTCCTCAGTTGTCCCTGCAATAAGCAGTATGTGGGGCGGACAACTAGACGCCTAAGGGACCGTCTGCGGAGCATGTGGCCAACATAAGAAAAGGTTACAGGGATCATTCGTTATCTAATCATTTCAGACGGTTCCATAATAGTGATCCCACTTCTTTAAGGTTTGTGGGTATAGAAATGGTATCACCACATTGGAGGGGACTTCACAAGACCAACAGTCTCGCAGGCCGAGACCCGCTGGGTCTACGAATTACGCACCCTTTACCCTCAGGGACATAATGTGGAGGTAGACATAAACTGTTTTATTGCCAACAGCTAGGATATGATGATTCTGTTATTTAGTATAGCGCTGTGTTTTTTATCGTAATTTTATTTGATCAGGTTTTTAGTTCGTTTTAATAACCCCATTCTAGGTGTTTGAGTTATGGTTCCGAACTATATAGAAAGTCGGAATTATTGTGATTAGGTTTATATTGGATCGCTTGACCTTTACATATTAGTCTATAATATAAGACGTTGTGATCTAGAATTTGACTATTATCCTTTAAGCCTCTTCAGAATGTGACTGCTTACCGAATGATTTTGGGGCATTCAGAAGTTTTATATGTGCATAATTTTTAGAGTTCAGTTTATCATCATCTTTATTCTTTGTATGATGATGCATAAGCCCCTTTTGCCATGGTGTTAGTGATTTCCTGAGAGGGCTCTTGCGGCACTTATTTGGTGCATTCCTCTATATATATATATATATTTCTTACTTGGATTTATTACTCCAGGTTGGGCCTTCCTAATGCTTCCCTTTGGGGTGGGGCAGGTATCTGCTTCTATCCATATAATAATAGAGCACCTTAGTGTGAGGTCACTTGTTCGTTTTTTTCTCTAATGGGTTAATCTTCAGCAGCAGTTTTTTTCTTGCTGCCTATGATCCATGGCAATATGGCGGCGATTGGGTGGCGCATGCGCAGTTTGATACTGCACAGCCGCGATCCACGGCAAGATGGCCGCTGTTCGCGCATGCGCAGTACCGCTTTTCACGATAGAGCGGGATTTTCGCGCATGCGCGATCGGCGTTTAAATGGAAGTCTGGCTGTCACACTGCTAGTGGCGTCCATCCTCTGAAGAAGTGCTTTTTGCACGAAAGGCCTCAGGAGGAGCCAAGTAGCAAGTGTGACTTCCAGACCACTGGGACCAAGAGGAGGTCTGGTGGTCTTTGTTTTTATGCCATTGCCGGGTTAGTACTACTATTTCCTTTCATACCTACCTGTCCGTTATTGGCTTATGGTGTATGGATATATGTGTGCATATGACCCAGGCATTATTGCTCCAATAAAGTTTTTTGATAGTACCACACTATTGGCGTTCCCCTTTTTCTTTGACTCTCCTGTTGGAGAGTGCAGATACACATCTTCCATTCCTGGGGTGTCTGGAACCAAAAAAGGGGGATCTCTGTCTTTCTACCTTTGGATCTGGAGATATTGCTACACCCAAGGCAAACGAGAGTGTTGGAGAGGGAGGATCCGTGTGGTCTCTGGAGCTGTATACCTGGCTGGTCTTTTGGAATATATCATACACAGGCGCATTTTAAATGTGCGGTCGGTGAGTGCGCAATCTTGTTATTTTCCAGTCACCTAATGAGGAGAAGACCTGCACATATTTGACTATATTGTCATAAGAAAGACTTTTATATATATATATATATATATTTTACACATTTCATATTTGTTGTACCAGACTCTACAACCTGATTGTGCTATTGCCTTTACATCTACCAACAACTATCAGACACTATAATATTGGGGCTTGCACAATAGGATACAAATTGAATGGCTTGTTTAGGTTTGAGCCCATATTTCATAGCATTGGTAATATCTACAGTTGTGTCCAAAATTATTCAACCCCCACTGAAATTGAGTGTTTTGGCCAGTTTGACATTGCTTTTGATCATTCAGTCATCTTGCTTACATTTACATTAAAGAGGCACTTGTAGGTCAGACAAATATAACATAACAGTTATAATGAAATAACCACAAATGTCTTTTCTGTGCTCACAGCATTATCAGTTTTATTCAACCCCCAAGTGACATTCAATCTTAGTACTTAGTACAGCATCCTTTTACAGTTATAACAGCTTTTAAACGTGAAGCATAGCTTGACACAAGTGTCTTGCAGCGATCTACGGGTATCTTCGCCCATTCTTCATGGGCAAAGGCCTCCAGTTCAGTCACATTCTTAGGCTTGCGCACTGCAACTGCTTTCTTTAAGTCCCACCAGAGGTTCTCAATCGGATTTAAGTCTGGTGACTGCGATGGCCACTCCAAAATGTTCCAGCCTTTCCTCTGCAACCATGCTCTAGTGGACTTGGAGGTATGCTTGGGATCATTGTCCTGTTGAAAGGTCCAACGTCTCCCAAGCCTCAGGTGTGTGACGGACTGCATCACGTTTCCATCCAATATCTCCTGGTACTGAAGAGAATTCATGGTACCTTGCACACGCTGAAGCTTCCCTGTACCTGCAGAAGCAAAACAGCCCCAAAGCATGATTGACCCTCCACCATGCTTCACAGTAGGCAAGGTGTTCTTTTCATCATAGGCCTTGTTCTTCCTCCTCCAAACATAGCGTTGATCCATGGGCCCAAACAGTTCTAATTTTGTTTCATCAGTCCACAGAACACTATCCCACAACTTTTGTGGTTTGTCCACATGGCTTTTGGCATACTGCAGTCGACTCTTCTTATTCTTTGGAGACAGCAAGGGGGTACGCCTGGGAGTTCTGGCACGGAGGCCTTCATTACGCAGTGTGCGTCTTATTGTCTGGGCTGAAACTTCTGTACCCACATCTGACAAATCTTTTCTCAGTTCCTCAGCAGTCACACGGGGACTTCTCTCCACTCTACGCTTCAGGTAGCGCACAGCAGTCGAAGTCAGCATCTTCTTTCTGCCACGACCAGGTAGCGTTTCAACAGTGCCCTTTGCCTTGAATTTGCGAATGATGCTTCCTAAGGTGTCTCTTGGTATGTTTAACATCTTTGCAATCTTCTTATAGCCATTGCCCTTCCTGTGAAGAGAAATCACCTCTTCTCTTGTCTTCCTGGACCATTCTCTTGCCTTCACACATGTTTGTAACCACACCAGTAAATGTCTAGAAGGAGCTGAGTATCACAGTCATTTTAAAGCTGCCTAATTGGTGCTTATTATGCTTGATTGCTGCTCGGTGACATCCACAGGTGTTTTCAATACCTGATGGAAAGCACCTGTATGAACCTCTGTTCTTCAGAGTGGTAGTCTTTAAGGGGTTGAATAATTGTGGCAATGAAGAAACCACATAAGAACCATTTACTACTGTATTACATAAACAATTGATGTCATTTTAGTTGCATTTGGGTAGTTACAACGTCCTTGTAGGATTTGATTCTGAATACAATTCCAAATGTACACTATAGTCCCTAAACCCCTTTACAGCATTGGGGGTTGAATAATTTTGGACACAACTGTATCCATCCATCCATCTATCTATCCAGTTGTATCTGACCCTTGGCGATTGCATGGACTGTCACTCGTAAGCAACTTTTTTCCATGAATTCTCTTAGCAATTATTTTACAGGGTAGGTTGCCAGGTCTTTCCCCAACCCCCACCATGCAGGAGATCCTGCATGGAAGGGGATGAAGCTAGGACAATTTAGACAGGAGTCTATTAACCTACCAGCATGTCTTTGGACCCGGAGAAAACCCACGCAAGCACAGGGAGACATGCAAACTCCATGCAGGGGGTGCCATGGTCGGGAATTGAACCCATGACCCATTTACTGCAAGGCAGATGTGCTAACCACTAAGCCACTGTGCCGCCCCGTTGGTAATATATGCACCCTAAATGTTTCTTTTTCTCTTTCTTGTAGGTGTGAAGGTCTGGAGAGGAGCTATGATGGCAATGCTTTGAATGCCTGCTTGCCCTCTGCACAGGTGCTGGCTACAGAAGTCAGTGATATCCTAGAATCTTGTAATGGTAAGATACCCATGTGTAATCTATCTATGACCTGTAAACATTCCACTTTGATGAAGCAATAAATTAAACAAAAAATTATTTCTCCTTAGTGTGCTTAGTTTTAACCATTAGCCGCCGGCCAATGGCCGTTTGGCGACCGGCAATATCCCTCAGGGTTCCAGGTGGACGCCATATGGCGTCCTCCCGGGCATGCGCAGTTTGCGTGCCTGCAGAGTCGCGCAGTGGCACGATCTGTCACCGGCCGTGTACGAGGTGACAGATCTGAGTACCGGCCCCATTGCCAGTACCATGTGACTTGCTGTGACCAATCACAGCAGGTCACATGACAGTTGTATACAATGGATGGCTTCATTCATGCCATCCGTTGTATACTAGTGTGCCTAGCTGTGAATGGTCACAGCAATCACATGCACAAGCAGGGCCAATCACAGCCCAGCTGTGTCATGTGATTAGCCGTGGCCAAATCACAGCTAAGCACAAAAAAAAAAAACCTGAATGAATCGATGTCATTCAGGTAAATGCTTGCTTATAGCAAAGTAATTCTTTGCTATAAGCAAATTGGGGAAGTGATCGGTATTTTTTTTTTTTTTTTTTACACAAAGTAGTGCAATGTTACTATGGTAACATTGTACTACTTTGGCCATAGTGAAATATGAAAAAGAAATCTTAAAAAAAAAAAAAAAATTATATATATACACTGTCAGTGTCCCTGATCACCGCCATGCCAGTTATATGATGACACTGTACTGCACTGGTGACAATATGTAAAAAAACATAGTGAAAATAATAAAATAATTTTTTTAATTTTCCGAAAAATTATGACAAAAAAATACAACTTCAAAAAACTCGCCATGCCTCTTATAAAATACATTGGACTGTCTACATTGCAAAAAGGGGTCATTTGGAGGATATCTGTACTGTTCTGACATTTGGGGGATATCTGTACTGTTCTGACATTCTTGGACCTCAAGAAATTAGATTGGCTGTCAGTACTTCAGGATTGATCAATATTCAGATCTATACCATAGTTTGTGAACTCTATAGCTTTCCTACAAACTAAAAAATACATCCTAATTTGGGTTATTTTCACCAAAGACATGTAGCAGAATACATCTCGGCCTAAATTTATGAAGAACAATTCTTTATTTGCAAACTTTTATAACAGAAACAAAGAAAAACGTGTTTATTTTTCAAAATTTTCGGTTTTTTTTTTAATTTGGCAAAAAAATAAAAATCCCAGCGGTGATTAAATACCACCAAAAGAAAGCTCTAGTTGTGTGAAGAAAATGATAAAATTTTAGTTTGGGTACAATGTTGTATGACCGCGCAATTGTCATTCAAAATGTGAGAGCGCTGAAACCTGAAAAATGGCCTGGGCAGGAAGGGGGTAAAAGTGCCCAGTATTGAAATGGTTAAAGAATATCCAAATCCAAGAAAAAAATTCAATATATTGTAGCTTACCAGTCCTTAGATGTGCCGGCAGCATTAGTTTTCCTTATTCAGCCTAAGAACATTTTCAGCATGTTCAGAAAATACCTGTTGATCCTGCCAGAATTGCCATGTCCATGTGAGCTGCACTTTCCAAACTATCTTCTGTAAACTACATATTCCCTGACCCCAATATAGGAAGACGTGTTTTGTATTCAGGAGAGCCGTCTATAGTGACAGCCATGGTTCCGTCATGGATACGGTGCGGTGAGTGAATGTTGTCACCTTGGGACAGGAAGTGTGTTACTAGCAGGATCACCAGGTGAAAAGAAAGGGGGGAAAAAAGCCTAAAAAAATAAATCCAATGCAGCCACCACATCTAAGGACTGATGAGCTTTAATATATTACGTTTTTGTTCTTGGGTTGCAATCCCCTTGAATATTGGTTTGGCAACCTTTGCACACGAAAAGGAGGGCACAGCTACAGTCCCACACATGCGTTGGCTTTGTAAACAACCTCTCTTTCGAATTAACATGTCTCTGGCCTTGAATATTACATTGTGGTACTTCAATTCTACATCTAATGAAGCTTTCTATACACTAGTAGAATTTTGTTCATATTTTTTTTTTTTTTTCGTTTTAAGAACATTTGTTTGATTTTCTAATGTGGGGTCAAATCGATGTTGAAAGGACCAGGATGGAAATTGTTTCTCCAACAAACAAATTTCTAACAGTGTATTTGGTTTTTGTTCCATAAAGTCCATGTGTTCCAAAATAAAATGTTAAAAGCAAATGACATTTGGAATGAGATTTGTCAAGCTGTTGAATGTATGGAGAAATTTCTGACAAATTTCGTAAGGAACATTTATGCAGGCCATAGATGGTTCGAAAATCTGCCGATTATGCCGATTGTTCGTTCAATAAACGAAATATCGGTCAGTCTTATAGCCGACATAACCACCAATGATAATGAAAATCGGCCATAGACGGGTCGAACATCGGCCGATTTTTCAGCCGAAAATAAAATTGGCTGATTTTCGGATCGTTAGTGGGCTAATTGTTCGGCCGTTTTTCGGTATTTTGGCAGATTTTTTTTTATCGGTAAAGTTGGAAAAAAATTGGCCGATTTTGCCGATCGGCCAATTTTCGCGGCAATGATGGGCAAATCGGCCGATCTTTTTACCGATAAAAAAATCTGCGCATGAGCAGTGACCTGCAAGAGGAAGACAAAAAGAAGAAGAAAAAAGAAGAAGAGGATGAAGAAGAAGAAGAACAAGAAGAGGAAGAAGAGGAAGAAGAGAAGAAGAAGAAGAAGAAGAGGATGAAGAAGAATAGGAAGAAGAAGAGGATGAAGAAGAAGAGGATGAAGAAGAGGATGAAGAAGAAGAGGATGAAGAATGAAAGAAGAAGAAGAGGATGAAGAAGAAGAAGAGGATGCGGAAGAAGAAGAAGAAGAGGATGAAGAAGATGAAGAAGAGGATGAAGAAGAAGAAGAGGATGAAGAAGAAGAAGAGGAAGAAGAAGAAGAGGATGAAGAAGAAGAGAGAAGAGGAAGAAGAAGAAGAAGAGGAAGAAGAAGAAGAGGATGAAGAAGAAGAGGAATTCCAGTCCGGCAAAAAATGTCCCTGCAGAGAGCTCCGCTATTTCTTTGACAGTTCTTTGTCATTTATAGCGGTTGCAACAATGTATCTATTTGTTTCCGAATAAAAACATCTGTATCCCAAATGGATACAAATACATTGTTGCAACCGCTATAAATGTCAAGGAACTGTCAAAGAAATAGCGGAGCTCTCTGCAGGGACACTTTTTGCCGACTGTAGACGGGATGAAAATCGGCCAATTTTTTTTTACCGTTGCTGGTAACGTCGGCCGCTTGAACGACCGATTTTTCGTTTTTTTTTTTAAAGAAAAATTGGCCGATTTTCGACCCATCTATGGCCTGCATTAGTCATGAAAAAACTGAATGAACTGCTTTCATTCATGTCAGCACTGGGGTTTTGCTCAATGATGTTCTTTTCTTTCCGGGTCACTGCACGTGCATAAATTTTTCGTAAAATTGATCGTACGATTTGACCATCATTGAGGAGAAAATCGGTCATTTTCCAAAAATTTTCCAACATGACCGATAATCCAAAAGTCCAAAAAAACACGAAAAACGGCCGACGAATTAACCCACTAACGGTACGAAAATCGTCTGAAAGAAAAATCGGCAGATTTTCGAACCATCTATGGCCTGTATTACTGGGAAATTTGGGGGGTGTAATCAGTGCAAGCACTGCTGGAAGTCCTGGGTAATCCTGCTATGGGGTAATGGTGGTAGCTTTGGCTGTATAAGGAAGATGAGCGTCGGGGTCCGTGGAGCACTGAGGGCAAGGCTTCCAAATAGACTGTAGCAGACTCTGTAGGTGAGAGAAGAAGAGAAGCGCCTCTAAGTGCAATATGTCTCTTTATTTAGGTATATAGGTAGGAACACTCACATAGATAGGATAAATAGAAGCATAAAAACCGTGGTTTATTGGTGACCAACAGTAAGGTGGGTATCCATGGTGAAGAGCTGTCATCTGTGTGGGGTAGTGAGAGGTCCGCGTGCCGCTGGAGCAGCGTGGTGGCTGGAGAGGAACAGCGGCGTTCCAGCGTGCATTCCACCCGGCCCTAAGGGAGGACGTGCACGCCGGCCGGCCTCACCGCTGTTCCCCTCCAGCCACCGCGCTGCTCCAGCGGCACGCGGACCTCTCACTACCCCACACAGATGACAGCTCTTCACCATGGATACCCACCTTACTGTTGGTCACCAATAAACCACGGTTTTTATGCTTCTATTTATCCTATCTATGTGAGTGTTCCTACCTATATACCTAAATAAAGAGACATATTGCACTTAGAGGCGCTTCTCTCCTTCTCTCATTACTGGGAAATTTTACTAGGGAATGGCCAACTTTTATCCTAAAAAAAAACGTGGTCTCTGTCGGCGGTGTAGCGTGGGTGGGGCCACAGGGGAGGTTGCCCCGGGTGCAAAATTCTTAAGGGTGCAAAATTAGTAATATAATAAACAGAATGGTGCAGCGCTATTTTTACACATACAAATAATTATAAAATCAGTGGATACGGATCAATAAACATAAACGCATATACAGTTATAAAACTTACAAGTGCGTATTCCTTCCCTCTCAGCAGCGCAATAGGATCTCCTCCTACTATTATTTTTTACCTTGCAAAATTAGTAAGGCTTTGTTTTGAGAAGAGGTAGGAGATTGGTCTGTGTGTGTCCTCTTTTTCTGGTCCTCAGTGGCGTGTTCCCTCTTCTCTCCAACTTAGGCTGCGTGGGCTGCAGGCAGGGTTGGCTGGGTGGTTCTACATCAGAATGGGTGGAGTTGAGAAGAGTGAGCGGCGCACTCCCACTGAGTGAGTGGCAGCGCGCTGCTTGGAGTTCTAATGGTTCACGGGCTAGGGGGAGCAATTTTTGCCTTGCTTTGGGCGCTGGCAATCCATGATACTCCAGTGGTTCCCATATCCCTCATGACAGCAAAGTTTGCGCAGAGCAGAACACACAAAGCTCCTACTACATCATGGGATCAAATCTTTTGGTCCTGGTTCAGACTAACATATACAAACAATAAGGTCATATAGTAGTGATTAGCATAAATAGCAGCCGAAATACAGTAATTTGCAACAGTTTTGGATGAGTGTCTGGTTGTTGTCATTTATGCATTTATGGCATAATAATAAAAATAATAATATTGTATTGCCATTTCAGCCTGCCCACTTTCATGTGCTGACCCCCAAAAGAACAGACGGCGGTCACATCAATCAGGGTGAGTTATGTCATCAGAAATACATAGACATTCGAGTGTAATGCTCAGTTTAGCTTAAATATAAAGGGTGTATATACAGTGGGGAAAATAATTATTTGATCCCCTGCAGATTTTATAAGTTTGCCCACTTACAAGGAAATTAAGGGTCTATAATTGTTATCATAGGTATATTTTAAATGATAGATACAGCATATCAACCAAAAACCAGAAAAAACACAATACAAATGTTGTAAATTGAGTTGCAGTTCAGTGATTAAATTAAGTATTTGATCCCCTACCAACCAACAATAATTCTGGCTCCTACAGACTGGCAATGCGCTCATGTGGTACACAGATTAGTCCTGTCAATTTAAGAAGATGCTCCTAACTCTTTATGTGTATAAAAGACATCTGTCCACAGAATCTCTTCCTTCCATTCAAACCTCACCACCATGGGCAAGATCAAAGAGCTGTCAAAGGATGTCATGGACAAGATTGTAGACATGCGCAAGGCTGGAATGGGCTACAAGACCATCAGCAAGAAGCTTGGTGAGGAGACAACTGTTGGAGCAATTATTTGCAAATGTAAGAAATAAAAAATTACCATTAGTCGCCCTCAGTCTGGAGCTCTATGCAAGATTTTGCCTCATGGGATAAGGATGATCATGAGAAAAATGAGGGATCAGCCCAGAACTACACAGGAGGAGCTTGTGAATGATCTCAAGGCAGTTGGGACCACAGTTACCAAACAAACCATTGGTAACACAATACACCACCATGGATTGAAATCCTGCAGCGCCTGCACGGTCCCCCTCCTCAAGAAGGCACATGTACAGGCACATCTGAAGTTTGCCAATGAACATCTAAATGATTCAGAGAAGGATTGGGAAAAAGTGATGTGGCCACATAAGACCAGAACCGAGCTCTTTGACATTAACTCAACTTGCTGCGTTTGGAGGAAAAAAAATGCTTACTATGAACCTAAGAACACATCCCTACAGTCAAGCACGGAGGAGGTGGAAACATTGTGAGTTGGGGCTGTGTCTGTGCTAAATGTACAGGCCGACTTTGTAGCATTGAGGGACCAATGGACGGAGCCATGTATTGTAAAATCTTGGAGGAGAACCTTATTGCCTCAGCCAGAACACTGAAGATGGGTCGTGAATGGGTCTTTCCAGCATGACAGTGACCCAAAACAATGAGGATTACCCAAAACATACCACCAAGGCAACAAAGGAGTGGCTAAATAAGAAGCACATTAAGGTCATAGAGTGGCCTAGCCAGTCTGCAGACCTTAATCCTATAGACAATTTATGGAGGGAGCTGAAACTTCATGTTCGAAGCGACAGCCAAGAAACCTTAAGGATTTAGAGAAGATCTTTAAAGAGGAGTGGACCAAAATCCCTCCTGAGATGTGTGCAAACCTGGTGGCCAACTACAAGAAACGTCTTACCTCTGTGCTCGCCAACAAGGGTTCCTCCACCAAGTACTAAGACATGTTTTTCTTGGGGATCCAATACTTATTTTACTCACCGAACTTCAACTCGGTTTATAACATTTGTATTGTGTTTTTTTTTTTATTTTTGGTTGATATTCTGTCCCTTTCATGTAAAATACACCTATGATAAAAATTATAGACCCTTCATTTCTTTGTAAGTGGGCAAACTTACAAAATCTGCAGGGGATCAAATAATTATTTTCCCCACTGTATATATACATTTTTAATTTTGTAGAAAAGCTGTTTTTATTTATTTATTGCTGTCTTATTGGGAACAATGATTCCCTTCCTGTCCTATAGACACTACAGGAAGTGAAAGTAAATATCTCCAAAGTTAAGGAAATCCTGTCCTAAACGATAAGTTCACCTTTTGTAACATGTTACACCCATATTCAGGGTGTAATATGTTATAAGTCCCGACATCCTTTGCAGCACCAGCTTGTAGTTCTCAATGACCTACCATGCAGGGGCGGACTGACTATTTGGGAACTCGGGCACTGCCCGAGGGCCTGGGGTCAGTAGGGGCCCCATGAGATGCCCCTGGTACCTTTCATAGGCTTTTTTTGGGTGCGGGTGAGGACACAGGGGCCCCATGATCCCCTATTGCCCGGGGGCCCCATGAGTTGTCAGTCCGCCCCTGCTACCATGGTGCTGTTCAACGCTGTGGTAGTTCACAGAGTCTTCCTGTCAGCATATCTCCTTGTCCATTTATCCCGTACAGGCAAGCAGATATGTGGACAGGTCTGCAGGAGACCTGCATGGCACCAGTGATCTGCTGATGACTGGTGCAATGCTTTAGAGGCTCCAGAAACAAAAAATAATAAATGCACATTTTTTTTACCTGCAAAAAATGTGTTTTATTTTTTGTTAAAAGGTGAACTTATCCATTAACCCCTTGGTGCCGATGTCACACAAATATGCGGCCTCACAGAACTGGGCTTTTTTCTGTGGGTCACATATTTGCATATCTGTCTTGTTGCTGGGAGCACAATTGTCTCACAGCCTGTCTACACACATGACCATTTAGTACATATATACACACATGATACACACATGACAGTATTCCATGTAGCAGTGAAGTGTCGGCTCCCCCTAGGATGGGAAATGATGACATTAGCCCAGGACCCCGGGTGGTCGGCAGTCTCTGATCGGAGGATCGGTCCGTATATCTCCAGTACACACACTAGCACACACAATCCTCCAGCTGTAACAGAGAGCAGGCTAGTGACCGAATGGGGCGTGTCCTGCACTGGCCCCGCCTTCTTCCACACAGCTGGAGCCAATCAATAGGCGGGGGTGTGCTCTGGTTTCAGGGTTAACCCCATGTGAGTAGGATGATCGGGGCCAAATGTGTATGAGAGGGAAGAAGAGTAGTGCTGGTAGGCCGCCTGTCTTCACTTAGTGCCTCAGCCTGGACTCCGCACCCTGGCAGGAGCCGTCAGAGTCAAGCAGCACCTAGGAGGATGGCAGGTCATGGTGGTGACAGGAGGAGGAGAGAGGGGCGGACACTGGTCAGGGTGAGGGGAGCGGATGCTGATTGATCGCATGACCGCCACGTCATGAATGATCCTTCAGCTGAGGGGAGGGGAGGCAGAGGGGGAGGAAGAAAGGACAGAGGAAGATGCCAGGTGTCTGGGGTAAGTGTTCCTCTCAGACTCAGTCCCCTGCAAGCGGGCCAGCGGCTGCTGGTCACTGTGGAGTTTTGTAACTGTCTTTTTTTTTTTTTAGTTTCTCTGTCTGATTGCTTAATTCAGTTAATTTACATTTGGCTAATATATATTTTGTCTTTATTATTGGTGCTGGTGGCATCTTATGGCACTTACTTTTGCAAATTGAAAGAAATTTAGCAGTTTCATGTGTTGTTGATTTAATATTTTCTACTGTTTTTAATTTTTTTTTAGGGGGGGGGGGCGCAAGTAGCTAGTCTTGCCTGGGGTGCAAAATAGTCCTGGCTGGGGAGTAAGCAGTAACGCAAGTCTGACAGACGCCTTAAATGTATAAAGGCATAGTCCTCCTTTTTTTAAAGAAAATAATAAGTTACTCATACTGATTAATGAAAAAAAATGTGCATTTATTATTATTTTGTATTAGAAACTGCAAAGTATTGCAGCCACAATCAGTGGCCCACAATGCTGTGGCTCCTGCAGATTTTGTCACCAGCTGCAGGCCTGTACAGAGGTACCAGATATTGTGCTCCATTGACAACCTCACGAGTCCCTCTGCTGCAGAGGCAGTTGGGATTTGTAAATGGTTTTCTTTTCCAATTCCTATGAATGAATGATGTAGCTGTGCAGGTGGAGTCATGTACAGCCATGCCAATTTCAAATAGTGAAAGGAGCCAGCAGTTGTATTGCTCTGATGGCTGAATTAAAATTTACTGTGCCAAGTCAGGTCATTGGTGTGCAGCTTCTCCTTTGCTGCTCCTCCATAGATACAGTACAATGAGTGAGCGTTGTCACCCTATAATAGGAAGTATGTTTCTGGCAGGATCACCAGATGATAATAAAAGGCGTAAAAAAAAGAAAACTAATGCAACTACCACATCTAATGATCAGTAAGCTGCAATATATTACATTTTTGTTCTTGGGTTTAGATACTGTTTAAGTAAGAGGAGCTGAAAACACAAAAAAGGCTTTAAATGAAACCTTTTTTTTTCCAACAGAACCTCCAGTGTGAGTTGGCATTCTCCGCCAAGAAGCACGCGGACGCACAGCCTTAGCTGCAGCGAGGAAGTGTTATACTCAGCCAAAAGCTCAAAGGACAAGCCAAAATAGATCAAAATGGCCTCTTGGACTGCTGGTGGGTATGGTCTACAAAGAGACTCTTAAAGTGAGTACGATTAATGAGAGCAGGTATGTCACACTAGCCATCTTAAAACAGCATTTCCCAAAGAAAGTGATTGTGGGTCCATGTCAAGAACTAATGAATGAACTAAAAAATGGAAAAATTAATGATTGGAAAAAATAATGATTGGAGAACTTATAAATGGACAAATAACGAATGGACAATCAACGAATGGACAACTAATGCCTGGAAAACTAATGGATGGATAACGAATGACTGGATAACTAACAAATGGACAACTTATGAATGGAAAATTAAAAAATGGAGGTCTAATGAATGGAAAACAAATGGATAATTAATGACTGGACAACTAACAAATGGACAACTAATGAATAGAAAACTAATGCATGGACAACTTATGAATGGAAAATTAAAAAATGGAGGTCTAATGAATGGAAAACAAATGGATAACTAATGAATGGACAACTAACAAATGGACAACTAATGAATAGAAAACTAATGCATGGACAACTTATGAATGGAAAATTAAAAAATGGAGGTCTAATGAATGGAAAACAAATGGATAACTAATGAATGGACAACTAACAAATGGACAACTAATGAATAGAAAACTAATGCATGGACAACTTATGAATGGAAAATTAAAAAATAGAGGTCTAATGAATGGATAACTAATGAATGGACAGCTATTGAATAAAAAACTAATGAATGGAGAACTTATGAATGGAGAACTACAGAACGTGCCAAATTTTTCACGACACTGACTATGGCACAGGCAAGTGATGTAAAAAAAAACCCCAAGGCAGCTGAAGCAGGGCCGTTTTTTGTTGGTTCAGGTTACTGGACTACTTTATGGTGGAAAACAAGTTCAACAAAGTCCAACAAAAACTCGTAACGCCTAGATGTTCTGGTCCCTCTTATTCTATTCTCATGCTGTATTACCTGGTTATATAATCATAAGATAAACCTTCATCATGTCACTTGGACTGAACATTTCTCTAATAATCGTCTCCATTAGCAATAGACAGGTCACAGCTCTGAGATGTGGTTCCTGCGTTCCCTATTGCTCATCATATGTAATCAAAGTCAATTTGGAAAGGCTGACTTGTTTGAAGCTCTAGTCACTACCAAAACCCCAAAGTGTAAACATGTTTTTTTTTTTATTATTTAATGTTGAAATAAAAAAGTAATTCTATGTATGGTATTTTGTAATGAAAACATCAGTTCTTGTGATGCTTTGAAGATGCTTTAAAATGGTGTTACTGCATGGAGGGTGGTAGGACTGTTACCCAGCAGTCTGTCGCAGGACTACAGAATCCCAAACACGGCTTAGAACAATGAGGACCCTTTCACATGAGACTTTACTGCTCTTTTGAAAAGAAACATGGGTTGAAGACAGTGGGACTGAATCACAAGCGAAAAGTTTGGCATGTGGTTGAGGCATGGTCCCATTGACTTCAATGGTTGTGTTTGGCAAGCAGTGCCACCTGCCAAACGTGACATGCTGAATTACATTTTCCATAACAGAAAGCAAACCATACCACCACAGCGATGTGGATGGACCTGAGCAGTCATCATGTTAATTTTAGGCAGGCAGTCAGGGGTTGGTAAAAACAGGTGACTGCCTTCCGTGTGAACTTAGGCTGGCCATACATTATACAATTTTCTTGCGATTTTTGGTTTAGATTTACCAAAAACCATATAATATGAGGTCAAACCTAACAACACTTTCAATTGTATACAGTTAGGCAGGCTCTTGCACTACAGGGTTGAAGGTAAATCTTAAGGAAATTGGGCAAAAATTGGACAGAAAATTGTATAGTGTATGGCCAGCCTTAGTCTCAGGGAACCACAGTCTTCAGATCTAAATACCACCTGGAGAACATTATTGGAAGGTGCTATTTTGCAACACCCCACTCTAATTGGCGATGTTATTGAGGCCTTGATGTTTGACTGCTTGCACTTGGTATGGAAAAGGGCGGGGCCGTGACCACACAAGTCAGATTATAGTAGCTACATGGAGGACCTGGTCACTGGGATGCAAGGAACAAAGTTGATGGGAAGTTTCTACAAAGAAAGAGCATGATCACTATACAAAGGTACTGGTATGACAAAGTTATACACCAGCTGAGGGATCATGAACACCTCCTTTGTCTGTGTTCTCTGTGTTCAGCTTAAAAGAAGCAATCCTCATTTAAGTGACATTTCTTGTATTTGTTGGTTGCACTTGCTTTCAAAGTGATCCAAGTATGCTGCTTATCCTCTCTAGTCTCTGTGCCCTTCTGTCTTTCAGGTGGAGGGGTTTATTCTTTCATCCTAGGTTAGAAGAAATACTGTGACCTGAATATATAGTGTATGCAGAGAGCAGGGCCAGGAAGAGGGGTAGGTAGAAGCGGTGGCCATCTTGGGAGCTTCAGCAGGGGTGGGGTGCAAAGAGTTAAGGATGTGCAGCGGGGGGTTGCAACTTTTGACTTTACTGCTGTGGGTGCCAAAGGACATTGTCCCAACATTGGCAGAGGGACAGCGATCCTGTCTTTGAACAAAAGAGAGATAATCACTAAAAACAGTAAAACACAGAGGAAAGCTACAAAAAAAAATATATACTATATATATATATATATATATATATGTGTGTGTGTAAAAAAAAAAAAAAATTTATATATATATATATATACACACACACACAAACACTGATTAGCCATAGCTTTATTACCACCCACCTAATATTGAGTATTTCCCCCTTCTGCCCCAAACACAGCCCTGAACGACTGAAGTATGGATCCCTCTAGACCTCTGAATGTATGCTCTGGCACCAAGCCGTTAGTAGCAGATCCTTTAAGTCCTGTAAGGTGCAAGGTGGGGCCTCCATGGATCAGACTTGTTTTTCTAGCACATCCTGCAGATGCTCAATTGGATTGAGATCTAGAGAAGCGGGAGGCCAAGTCATCACCTCAAACTTGTTGTGTTCCTCAGGCCGTTCTTGAACCATTTTTGTAGTGTGGCAGGATGCACTATCCTGCTGAAAGAGACCAATACCATCAGGGAATACCGTTTCCATGAAGGGGTGTACTTGATCATCAACATTGTTTAGGTAGGTAGTACATGTCTAAGTAACATCCACATGAATGGCAGAATCACAGTTTCCCAGCAGAACATTGCCAAAGCATCACACAGCCTCTGCCAGGTTACTTTCTTCCCATACTGCACCCTGGTGCCATCTCTTCAAGGTAAATGACGCACATCCACCCGGCATATACATGATGTAAAAGAAAATGTGATCCATCAGACCAGCTCACCTTCTTCCAGTGCTCCGTGGTCCAATTCTGATGCTCACGTGCCCATTTTAGGCACTTTTGGCTGTGGAGATGGGTCAGCACATGGCACCCTGACTGGTCTGCAGCTACTCAGCCCCATATACAATAAACTGCAATGCCCATTTTTTCTTTTTTCCAACACAATAATTGCAGTGACAACATGTTTACTGTAATCTCCTCTGGGTCCCCCGCCAGCACTCCGGGCTCCAGTAAGCCGTAGCAAGCTGCTTGCTCCCTTCCCTCCTCACAGGCTTTGACTGACAGAAGCAGGAGCCAATAGCTCCTGCCGCTGCCAACACTCCTTTGAGAAGAGAGGACAGTGAAGAGCTGCTGCAGACAGGGGGAGCGCTGGATATATAAACTGGAACCTGTTTGGGTACTGCAGTCTGCATGCTTCTATTACTGCTGTGTAGGCGCTCTCTTTTCTTTGCCTATAGAAATCAGGGGAATTTGAACTTCAATGTTTATCATAAGAATATTGAACCCTGCCTTGGCAACTTACCTAATTCCCAATGTTATCATGAAATATTCCTATAATGGATGTCTAATTCAGTATTTGGGGATTCCAGATTTTGCTGTGATGGCCACTGAGAACTCATAAGGGTTGATTTACTAAAGGCAAATAAATATGAGCACAACAAGTGAACTCCAAGTAGTGCAGTTGCTCTAGATCTGAGGGGAACATGCAAGGAAAACAAAAAAACAAAACTGCATTTTTGCTTGCACATGATTGGATGATAGAAATCAGCAGAGCTTCCCATCAGACCTAGAGCAACTGCATTTTCAGTGCACTTCCAAGTGCAACTGGGGTGCACAGTATATTTGCCTTTAGTAAATCAACCTCGTAGCATGGTTCACAAGAAGAATAATTGCCTGGGCTGCTCCTAAGCCATTATCATTTTCCTTTCATATTTTTCTAGCTGGTTATAAAATAAAAAGAAGTTGGCTTGTGGGAACAACAAAGTCTGTGTTACTGTCCACTTTTCCCCATTTTACTATGTGCACTTTTAAATACAGCTGGGACATCAGATCTGCAAGGTGCTGCAATGGGAGTAGCGTTTTACCCCTTGCATGTGGCCTTACTCTAGTACCCATACAAGCTCCACCAATGATTATCGGCAAAATGACTTAGGATAGTAAGCGGTAGGTATGAAAATAAAGATACATAATACATTAAAAAAAGTAAAAGACATCATATCTTCTAAGAGAGTTTAATTTCATTATGAAATATTGGCCTGAGATCACTCTGAAAAAAAAAGTCTGTGTAAATAAGTTAAATAGATAAAGGCAAAGTATTAGAAAATAGCCCAAAAGTGCTGGTAGTGTAGGATGGCTAGTTCAGAAGACCTACACATCATATCTAAGGCCGTCCTACAAACCAAGGTGCTGTAGTTACAGTTATAATTTGTCTGTCATAGTCATTTCAGGTTCGCCCACCACTCTATGCTCGGCTGAGGCTTTTCGAGCCGCCGACCGAGACTTGGTTAGTGGTGGTAGTTGCATAATTAGTACCAAACATACGAGGTAAAACACCTTTCTGTTGCATCTTGGTATTTGGTTTCAATAGATATCACAATCATGACTCGGATAATGTCTTTGGGCACAAAGACCAGGAAGGTTTCAAAGCTCCATATTGCAAGGAGATTGTCTTTCAGTTCTGTGCTTTTAGCTGGCTCTCTGGAGCTGGTGGTGCCAGGTTTTACCATGGCACGTTCAAGAACTAGGCGAGGACCCGCATGTCCTCTGTTCAAATAAATAAGGCCAGTTGTGCGCATAGGGTCAGAGAGTCAAAGGGGGTGAAGCCCCCAGGGTCCTCTGTTATCTGGAGACCATAGAGCTGCTGTGAGACTTGTTTGAAGAGTTGGTGACTCCGCTTAGCTGAGAGAAGCCACTGCAAGATTCCAGGCTGGACATTGACCCCCTGAAGAATAAGAGGATGGATCAGCACGTAATTTGGATAACTGAATGGCTCCATGACAAATGTAAACAACTGCATGACAACACTTGATGAACTTGCATGTTTTGTGAGCTTCAACATGGACATGTCATTTCTGTGTCAAATGTAAAGCAGCAAAGGGGCTAGTTACTTCATGGGCAGCAGTGGTGCTTGGTGCTCAGTAGTATAACATGCTCCTGAGGAAGAGGGCACTAAAGAGAACCTATCACTTTGGCCAGGATGAAGCAAAGAACAGGTTCATGTTAAGCTATAGAAAACACTATTTGTAGGGAACATGTCAGGATAGCAATATGGCAATCCCCGTTGCAGAACAACCATGGGACCTAGCAAATGTTAGTACAGTGCCTTAAACTGATTCTAAAGGTTGTAAGTAAAAAAAAAGAAAATAACAAACATGTTAGACTTATCTGCTCTGTGCAATGGTTTTACACAGAGCAGCCCAGATCCTCCTCTTTTTGGGTCCCCTGCTGGCAGTCCTGCCCCCCCCCCCCCCCCCCCCCCGAGTAGCCCCCAAAGCAAGCCTCTTGCTATGGGGGCACTCAAGCAGGCTTGCTCACAAGCATCAGCAGTGTCCCTGTGAATGGACATTGTCCATTCTCACACAGAGTGTGTCTCGGCCCCAACCTCCCGCTCTCTCCTCACTGCTTGTGACTGACAGCAGCAGGAGCCAATGGCTCCCGTTGCTGTGTGAGCCAATGAGGAGAGTGAGACTCAGGAGATCTGCAGCTCTTGTGCACATCGCTTGATCAAGATCAGGTTCAGGTTAGTATAAGGAAGGGGGGCGGGAATGCATTACGGTAAAAAACCTTCTTCCTTTAGAACCACTATAATTAATATATATATATGTAAGTATGCGGATTTGGAATTTTGACTTTACTCTAAATTCACTATCCCCATGCTCAGCGTCAGCGACTCAAAGTATTGAGCCAAAACACAGCCAGCAAGGAAGGAAGTCAGCCAGCAATGACAGGCTCCCTATGTTGCTTGTATAGATTTCTTTTAAACCTCACACATCAGAGAAAATTAAGACAATCATGGTGTCTCTTTGCCTCTGATCTCTGCTAAAAAGTGACTGGTCAGAGGAACACTTGGATACTCTGTCAAGTATTAAATTTGAAGACAGGCAACCGATTTGAATGCATGTCCTACCGGCTGGACTACATACCTTGCGTTTGCATCTTTGCTGCAACATTTACCTGCAGGAGTGAAATACAACTGAGCAAGCTCAAAATAAAGACTTAGAGCTTACAAAAGAGTGAGGACTCTCTCCCCCCCATGTGACAGCACAGAGTGCCGGTGGCTGTGGAACTAATCACCAAGCAACAGAGTGAGTCGCATGCTTTCCATACTTGAAAGAACCAATTATATCCACTCTCCCAGCAGTTAAACAGTGAATCAAGGAGCAAAGGAAAGGTATGTTCTGCTGGTAGGGCTGACATTAAAATGGACAAACCTAGGTTTGACTTAAGTTTGATTTAAGCCATCTTCTTACTTAGGTTCCGCTATCCTTTAAAATGGAACACCATCTTACCTGAAGTCCTCTGATGCCAGAACCCTCGAAGTAATACAAGACTTTACACTTATTACTGGAGACCTGAAGTGAGGCCAACACATCATCTACTCGGGCAATGCTGGTGCCAGACGATGAGCTGTGCATCTTCCACTGTAGGATGTAAAACCCGGGCCAGCGAGTCACATGAGAACCCTGGCAAGACATGGAGGAATTGAGTCTTCTGGGATAGGGGCAGCAAAGATAATTCTTAAGCAGAAATAATAATTAAGTGCTGTGCAAACTGTTGACACTATGAAAATCCTGTATAGTAATAATTCTAATCATTTAAGAGTTCTAGTAATGTCTATTAGTATGATATGGCATTAGGTAAAAAGCTGGGCTTCTTTAGGTTTGGAATTTAAAAATGCCTTAAAGATTATCTGGTTAAACCGTATGTAGCACCCTCCTAGTCAGCTAGGGGGAGATATACTCTAATTGTTACCTAGAAGGGCTGAGTAGGAGCCTGGGTGTAATAGCCAGGTGGGTCAAATTCAGGTCAGAGCTGAGAGGCTCTGCAGACCAGCTCTCTGGAATTTCCCCCTGCTCTAGGAATTTGGAGAAAGATCTAGAAGCAGTGGGCGAAGTTGAGGAGTGGCTGGTCTGTACTCTTAGAGGATCCTGGCCAATCCCCAACAGGAGGCTTGGCGAGGGGCCAAGACAGCCTTTAAGAGTAACTGAGCCTGCTCAGCAGCAGGAGAGTTGGAGGAGAGTTTGGGTGGAAGATGGAGAGGAAGTGAGGCTGGAGAGTAGGACCCTGGGAGAGGGCCCAAATGGGAACGGGTTCACCTCCATGCAGGAACCTTAGAAGGAGGAAACTTTGGGACTTCACCGGCCCACTGAGAGAGGACCACTTGTGTGGCAAGGAAGGAGTGGCCCAGCTAGAAGTCCCAGTAGCAGATACTGACCCACCAGCAACACAAGAGAAGGACCAAGTGAGTAAATCTGCACCACCTGGGCCAGACAGGGGAAGGAGCACTCTGGAGGGAAACCAGATTACCACCTACCCAGGACTGTCTTAATCTAACGTGGCAGGCACTGGGTCATCTGCTCAGGGATTTCCCTCAGATAGCTGGATAAGAAGAGGATTCATCTGGGATGGTACAGTAGGAAATGCTGGCTTCCAGAAGAAACTGTTTGCTGTAAAGTCTTGTACATAGTGCTAAGGAGTTTGTCCTCTGTTGCCATTACCCTTGAGAATCCCATATGCTCCTTACCCCATCCAAGTTCAAATCCCCTAATAAAACTTCAAAAACAAGCTCAAGGACTGGTTACTGTCTCCTAATGTAAGTCTGAGCGAAGGAAATGCGTGTTGACATAACCAATAAAAACAACAGCAACAGGAACCACTGCTAGTTTAAGAAATAGTCCAACCGACTCATCATAATAAATATCAGGTGGTGTCCTCAGGGTCCAGAAATCTAGTATAACAAAACGATCGTGTAGGGAGGTTCTTACACAAAAAGAAGGACCCCAAAAGGAAGCCAAGTGCGGATATGGACAAAATATACAAAAAATATAAAAGTGATGATAATGTGGCAATACAGCACAATGGCAACTGAAGACAATATGCCGGATATCAACGAAGAGAAGACCTCAAAGATGTATGAATGGCTCCCCCAAGGCTGCAACAACTGGTAAAGTATGCATGAATACTTTGTGGATTTCAGTGGGCTAATGGTGGATCTACGGATCTACGTCCACCCCGACTCTGGGCTGCAACGAGTTGGCTTTCCACCACGCCACCTCACCTGGATGCCTCACATGGTTTAGATGTACTTTTGGGATCCATTGTGTGAGTGGTTTGCATACCTGTGAGCCCGGGCTTTATTTTAATCGTGGTTTGACAGCGCTGTCATTTTTTACTGTGGAGGGTGACGGTGTTATTTCCGTTATGATACGATCATTATCATCACTTTTGTATTTTTTGTACATTCAATAAAGCTTGTATATTTTGTCCCTATCCGCGCTTGGCCTCCTTTTGGGGTCTCTCGTTTTGTGTAAGAACCTCCCTACACGATCATTTTGTTATAAAGGAAATGCGTGTTGCCTGGCTGTGCAGGACTATAGGGGGACCCAAAACTTCAGCGACACCTAAGGGGACACATATAAAACTGAAGCCAGTTTAAAGATTTGCCAGATTTTTTTTTTTCTGACTAAGAAAAGGACATTTTTATTCCAGGGGCATTGCAAAAGGCAAGGAGACATTAGTTACAAATGAAGGGTGATATGTACTGCCAGTATATGGGCTCTCCCAAGGATTTTGTTTTGCCTTTCTATTGACAAAAATGTCTGAGTTTGTTTGAGGCTTGGTGGACGTGTCTCTTTCTAACCTACACAATTATGTCAAAAACACTCATGACATTTTGGGAGGTGACATACCTGGATGCTCTCTCCTTCTTTGCAGATGAGCGGAGCCTCAACCCAGCTGTAGTCCACCCCCAGCACCCAATTCTTGTCAATCAGCTGAATGTTATTGCTGGTGCTGACGGTGGACGGGACCGAGGAGTCCTTCTGATGGGTCACTGGTGCCCTCTTGGAGTGGAAGAGGCTGAACACCACATCTCCGCGGAGCACGTCAAAGTCCCATGTGATAACACACTCCACCTCCAGAATCTCTGCTGATATCTGCGGGAAAAAGGCACAACGTGAAGATGTCTGAGTCTTCACAGCTTTTTATGCCCACAAACAAAAGTATGAGTAATGTTGAGCTTTTTTAGACCTCATTGCCAATATTTAGGCTGTCTGTGAGGAGCAGACAATGTCCTGGCCTGATTGTTTCACATTGACTGTATCTATCCTAAACCTTGGTCATGTGTATGATTTAGATTGTCCTACACACAATAATGAAGTTCAGAAGGCGGGGAGGGGGGGTTACACAACTGTACTCATACACATTTATGGCTGGGTGGAAATAAATGGAGCTCCTGATATTAGAACTTGGCAGAGGTGTACTAGACTGGATGTGCACCTCTTATGTCCACCAGTGGAAAAAGTGACTAGAGTACACACTGTAGCAATCTTGCAGATGTGACATCATCACGCATGCTGGAGCTTGGAGCCCGGCATGGCCAATTCAACCTGCTACACTGGAAATGTTACTAGCAACTTTATTGGTTTATATGTGGCTTTGGAGCCTGTTTTTAATTCACTATACATTAGGACAGCACAGTGGCTAAGTGGTTAGCACTTCCGCCGGGCAGTGCTAGGGGTCGTTGGTTCAAATCCCAACTATGGCACCACCTGCCTGGAGTTTGCATGTTCTCCCTGTGCCTGCGTGGGTTTCCTCCGGGTACTCCGGTTTCCTCCCACACTCCAAAGACATGCTGGTAGGTTAATTGGCTCCTGTCTAAATTGGCCCTAGTATGTGTATGTATGAATGTGAGTTAGGGACCTTAGATTGTACACCCCTTGAGGGTTAGGGACTGATGTGAATGTACAATATATATGTAAAGCGCTGTGTAAATTGATGGCGCTATATAAGTACCTGAAATAAATATTGTTATTTTGCGATTGCGTCCATTTGCTTATATGCATTCTTGTTTGGTGTCCCTAAGTGATATTTTAATAAATATGATTTTTACATTCTTCGTGGGTATGCACCATTTTCATTGTTTGGTACACATGTACACTTCACCTGATTTTACATCTATTTCACTTGTGATTTATAATCGTACATCACGGACTATTACTAGTTTGACTGTCTTTGTGTATGGATTGTATGGTGTATTATAGTTATTCTTTAACCACTTCCTGTCCGGACACTTTTACCCCCTTCCTGTCCAGGGCAATTTTCAGCTTTCAGTGCTATCACACTTTGAATGACAATTGCGCGGTCATGCAATACTGTACCCATATGAATTTTTTACCATTTTTTTGAGACAGATAAACCTTTATTTTGGTGGTATTTATTCACTGCTGGGATTTTAATTTTTTTTTGCTATGTAAATGAAAATGTCCAAAAATTTTGAAAAAAAGTGTTTTTCTTATAAAATTTTGCAAATAAATAATCTTTCATCATAAATCTTGACCAAAATGTATTCCGTTATATTTTTAGAAAAAAAAATAAGCCAAATTAGTTTATAACCAAAAATTACAATTTTTAAACTTTTTTTTACATTTTTATTTTTTTTTTTATAGTTTTTTTGGGGTTTTTTTTTTACATACTGTCACCCTAGCAGTACAGTGTCACCATGGTGACACTGTACTACTTGTGGGGGGGTGATGATTTTTTTTTTTTTTTTTTTTACGAGCGATTGCTTTTACACCCATATAGAATGTAAAAGCAATCATTTCTCTTTCTCTCTGCCTGCATTCTTGCAGCCATTGAGAACTACTGAGTGAGCTGTGATTGGTCACACCTTTTCACATGGTACAAGGCTGTTGTGAATAACCATGTACCATGTGATCTCTGTGATCATTCACAGATTTCACACGTAGTAAGCAATGATGTCACAAGTGACATCTTGCTTACTACTTTGCATGTGATCGGGACCTCGTACAGAGGTCCCGTCCGACGATCGGTGTTTCACTGTGTCCGGAGGACACAGCGGGCACCGGATTGCGGTGCTGCTGCGCGCTCCCAGGGAGTGCGCACAGCTAGAAAAGGCGGGTGCCGTTTATGAACGGCAACCCGCCCCTGGAGTGCCACCGTTCAGCCGTTTATAAACAGCAGGCGGATGGCAAGTGGTTAATAGTGTATTTATTGATTTATAGTATTCTATTTGGATTTAGTGCTGCTTTATGATAATATTTTATTCTTAGCTGTTTGTATCACAATTGCATGGTGACCACTTTATCGTGTTTTATTCAAACACTTCAGCTTAGTTTCATTTTTTCCCCATTCTTCCATTGGGTTGAGAAGAAGAAAGCTGCATCCGAGTGACTGCCTGATGTTTTCTCTATGTTGAGCGTTTGTAGCCCAGCTAAGTACGTTCTTTCAATCACTAACCTCGTGTGAGGCTCCCTTGTAGATATAGGCATGGTGGTAGATGGTCTCCGTCCACAATCGAATATGATCGGACGTTTCTGTTTCATCATCTGACTGGTAAAGTGATTTGGGAACTAGTCCGCCTTCTGGAATGTTACACTGCAAGACAGTCAACACTTGTGTTATCAATCCGTATTTAGGGACCATGTTCATGGAGTTTTGTTTGCTTCAAGCGGGCTTTTGCATTCTCATGCAACTCTATGGAAAAGCAAAACCCGCTTGAAGGAGGTCAACCACAGGTGAAAAGAAAGTCAACTACAGGTCAGATACAAAGAACCAGCAAACACAAATGCTCCTGCGCTTGGGGATGTACTCAATGCAGGCTACAACCACATTAAGAATGTCCTGGAACATGCACTCCTTTCTGCCCTCAATAGACCGGGGAAATCCAAATATACTGACTAAGGAAAGAACAAACAGAGGGCGCACGGGCCTAGTGCATGACCATAAAAAATTTTTAATAAGAAATAAAGTAGGTGTTGTACTCACAAACGACAATAAATTCAAGGAACGTCATAAAAGAACAGCTTGGTCAACACAGCGCTATGTGACAGTCCGCAATAGGGAGTGTAAAAATCCAATAGTCTGACGCGTTTCGAGGACTTACCTCTTCCTCAGTGCCGTGAAGAAGAGGCAAGTCCTTGAAACGCGTCAGCCTATTGGATGTCTACACTCCCTATTGCGGACTGTTACTTAGCGCGGTGTTGACCAAGTTGTTCTTTTATGACGTGCCTTGACTTTACAGGTCAGATACACCTGTCAACGAGTTCTGAATGAGCTCTGAATGTCTCAAATGGATAGAGCTGTGTCAGCCTTGTATGCTATCATCAGTATAGTTCATGGAAACCATGGCATCTATGATGGAGGGTTTGGAGACGAATGGGACAGGTTATGGGGACAAGGGAGGTAAATCTGCATGGCTCCACCAAGTATCATAAACTGAATAATACGCTCCCCATTTTTCAATTTTTTTTTTTTAACTCATAAAAATCAACCAGACTTGTTGCTTTTTTGAATTTTTCTGCATGTCAGTGATTGCTACAGCCATGCGGACCCCAAATTCAAAAGCATTATTACGGAGAGATGGACGTTTGTTTGCGAAAAACTAGAGGCAGGGTGTAGGCAATACTCTTTTTTTTTCTGGTTATATCCTCATAGTGATAAGACTTATTAAAAATCAAACAGTTTGCAGATTCCTACCACACACTCTCCTCCCAGAAAATCTGGGATGATCTCTTTGTCCACATAGTCGGCGATTCCCCCTGGACCTTGATAGTTGTTGCCGCTGTAGATAAGGAATTTTTTTCTGGAGTTCTCGTTGATGAATGGGCTGACCTAGGAGACAATGTAGACTCAGGAACCATTTGATGGCAACAGTTATAAATATTTAATAAATTATTAAGGTATATCTAGCCAAAGTGTTTCTTTTTAAATGAATATGGAAATATTAGGATCTTTGGAAGGTTTGGTTACTAACAGAATCAGCTGCTGAGGAACATGCAAAGACACTCCGTGGAATCTATTTAATTTACTCCACTGCATATTGCCGGAGTCTAATCTACCACATTTTCATCTATATATTCCAACCCCCAGTAAAGGGGACAACTTTCAAACCCCCAAAACATGCTGGGACATATTTGTGGAACATACTGATCTGTTTTATTGAAATAAAGCTTTATATTTGGACTCTCAGTTTGGGTAGGGTGCTCCAATTTTTGTCTCTAACAATCTTGAACAATGGTGTAACAACAGCCTGCTATGGGGTCTAGAGGTGGGAGGGGACCCTGTAAGGTAGGAAGTTGAGGCACAGGCTGCAGTCTAATGCAGGCCATAGATGGGGCAAAAACCGAACATTTAAAAAAAAAAAAAAAAAACGAAAAATCAGTCGTTCAATCGGCCGACGTTACCACCATTGGTAAAAAAAAAAATCGGCTGATCTTCGTTCTGTCTACGGCCGGCAAATATAATAGCGGTGTCCCTGCAGAGAGCTCCGCTATTATACTTGACATTTAAAAGTATAGAAAAGTTGCAACATTGTATCTATTTGTATCTATTTCGGATACAGATGTTTCTATTCGGATACAAATAGAAACAATGTTGCAACCGCAAGACTTTTAAATGTCAAATATAATAGCGGAGCTCTCTGCAGGGACACTCCGCTATTATTTTTGACATTTAAAAGTATTGTGGTTGCAACATTGTATCTATTTGTATCCGAATAGAAACATCTGAATCCAAAATGGATACAAATAGATACAGATGTTCTTTTTCTTCATCTTCTTCTTTTCCTTCTTCTTGCAGGTCATGGCTCATGCACATTTTTTTTAAATCGGTAAAAAGATCGGCCGATTTGCCCAACATTGCCGATTAAAAAAATGTGTCAAAATCACGAAAAACGGCCGACAAATTCACCCACCGAAATCGTCAGATTATTCATTTGGACGAATTTTCGGCCGATTTTCGACCCATATATGGCCTGCCTAAGAGTCATCAGGACCAATGACCAATGCTAGTCTCAGACCCCCCCCCCTTTGTCTTATATCTGCAGTTAGGAGAATTTGCTTAGCCCTTTATTGCCCTTTACAGCTTCTACTCCAAATAGTCTGAAATTTACCCTGTATGTAGTTCTACAACAAAGCCCGAGTTTACAGAAGTTTATTTTAGGGTATTAGAGCAGTTGTGTGCGGGAGCACTAATAATAATGTAATCATATAGAAAAAAATCCTGATGGGTAATACTGCTACTACTAAGGGTAAAGTTATTCCCTGCTCTGTTACTCTTCCCTGACAACTTGTATCCACAGCACTGATCCCTTGTAGTGACACTGATGATACACTATATTGTCAGCAGTATTGGTCGGCCGGCCTTTCCACGCACATGAACTTTAATGGCATCCCAGTCTTAGTCCGTAGGGTTCAATATAGAGTTGGCCCCGCCCTTTGCATCTATAACAGCTTCAACTCTTCTGGGAAGGCCGTCCACAAGGTTTAGGAGGGTGTCTATGGGAAGGTTGGACCATTCTTCCAGAAGCACATTTGTGAGGTCAGGCACTGATGTCGGGGGAGGAGGCCTGGCTCGCAGTCTGCGCTCTAATTCATCCCAAAGGGGTTCTATGGGGTTGAGGTCAGGACTCTGTGCAGGACAGTCACGTTCCTCCATCCCAAACTCATCCATGTCTTTATGGACCTTGCTTTGTGCACTGGTGTGCAGTCATGTTGGAACAGGAAGGGGCCATCCCCAAACTCTTCCCACAAAGTTAGGAGCATGAAATTGTCCAAAATGTCTTGGTATGCTGATGCCTTAAGAGTTCCCTTCACTGGAACTAGGGGGCCAAGCCCAACCCCTGAAAAACAACCCCCCACCATAATCCCCCCTCCACCAAACTTTACACTTGGCACCATGCAGTCAGGCAAGTACCATTCTCCTGGCAACCGCCAAACCCAAACATGTGCATCGGATTGCCACATAGAAGAGTGATTGGTCACTCCAGAAAACACGTCTCCACTGCTCTAGAGTCCAGTGGCAGCGTGCTTTACACCACGGCATCCAATGCTTTGCATTGCCCTTGGTGATATAAGTTTTGGATGCAGCTGCTCGGCCATGGAAACCCATTCCATGAAGCTCTCTACACACTGTTGTTGTGCTAATCTGAAGGCCACACCAAGTTTGGAGGTCTTTAGCTATTGACTCTGCAGACAGTTGGCGACTTCTGCGCACTGTGCGCTTCAGCATGTGCTGACCCCGCTCTGTCATATTACGTGGCCTACCACTTGGTGGCTGAGTTGCTGTTCCCAGTTGCTTCCACTTTGTTATAATACCACTAACAGTTAACTGTGGAATATTTAGCATCAAAGAAATTGTATAGGTGGCCACCTATCACGGTTCCATGCTGGAATTCACTGAGCTCCTGAGAACGACCCATTCTTTCACAAATGTTTGTAGAAGCAGTCTGCATGTCTAGGTGCTTGATTTTATATACCTGTGGCCATGGAGGGGATTGGAACACCTGAATCCAATGATTTGGAGGGCTGGCCCAATACGTTTGGCAAATTAGTGTAGCTGTCCTGCTACCTGTTCTTGATTTAGTGATTTAGATACTTTGGTTTAAGACCAGTTGACACTGCCAACAGAAATAGGTCGGTGGGGGACACCCATCAAATTTTGCTATGGGGGGACATGATTTGTAGTTACGTCCCTGATATAAAATGTTCTTGCAGAATCTTTAGTACACATGAGCTGCCCCCCCAAATGCCTATCACACCATAAGAAATTTAATTCCACGCAAATTTGTGGGAGCTATTACTTAATAACTCTGGGATCCAGTGCCATCATCAATCCTTCTTCACTAGGTTTTCATTGCTGGTTGTGTTTCAGCTGCTGATCATAAGTCTTCGGGCACAATGACCAAGTCACCAAGTCAGATAGTTGGTGGCATCCATTGGAACAATTCTTTATCAGCTACATAGCAGGATACAGTAATAACATGCTAACACGTTTCGGCCAAGACCTTACTCATAAGTACAAAATGCTATGAGAAAGGCATTGGCCGAAACACGTTAGTAGTAAAGAATTGTTGCAATGGATGTCACTGAGTAGCCGGCTTCATTGTATCAGAGGATTATTGCTACATTTCAAAGGCACTTGGGCCAGAGCACCAGTTCCCAGTCTCCTAGGAAATCTGTGGTGAAGCATGTTCTCTTTGTGGACTGTATCGGGTAATTAGTGATGGAGAATCTAGAAGGTTGTTTCTTCAGTTGTCATTGAAGCAGGAATTAAGAGGAAATCTTCCAATGGAGACACATGTTTTGGTTGCAGCTTTCCTCTCACTTTGGGGAAATTTCCTCTTACTTCTTGTTACGAATCAAGGAGAACTCTCCCCAAAAAACTCAACCGAGGTTCTAATCATATGCCAATCCAAACCAAATGTAAAATGTTGGCTAGAGATACACTTAAAGCAAAGTGGTAAATTATAGAACACCCTTTCCTCCACTCACCAGGGTCCACAGAACTGGAAAGACTCGCGGAGCCCGTACAATCAAAAGTCTTCCTAGTGTTTCTGGGTAATTGGCCTCAACAACCTCTATTATCCTGAGCAAGGCCTTCACACCAGGCCTCCAGAGGTGTCTCATATTTAGCCCTTCCAGGTCTACAAGGCAAGTCCAGGATCTGTGGGGAGACGTGCAGACATGTTTATTAACCTTTATATGGCTCTGTGAACCTTTGTAGCACAATATCATAGAAGGCCAAAAATGAGATTTCCTTTTGGGAAAAGCTTAAAGCCAAATTTCGGGTTGTACAGAGCACCTTCTACCTTTTGAAGCTCTTCTTTTTATGAATATTTTCTGCATACACACCTTTTATGGTGCTCTCTTCGGTCACATGAGTTCCCGTCCTCAGGCTGTGGTGGGTGGTCCCATATGATGAACGGGACTTTATAGTGACAAGGGTCCTGTTTTCTGCATTATTTTCCTGCGAGTCATGTACAGCCTGAGGACACTTCCCCATGGGGTGTGTCCTTGACTCCCTGGGCTTGCAGGAAGTGGATGGAATAGCCTGGGCACCATGAAACACAAGCAGTGGCTGGGATTGAAGAAGGAAGCAGGGGGAGTAATGCTTCCGGGATTCTTTTGCTAAATAGGAAGGGGGGGGTTATTGACACTGTACTAATGGCACTGGGCAGGAAGGGGTTAACATGTGGATCGATCAAAGGGTTAACTGTGTGCAGGCAGTATTTTACTAGGGGGCAGGGTGGGTGTGTTTCACTGTAATCCCACTGCTCTGGATGGCTGTGCCCAAGCTGACAGGGAGGATGACTGTTAGTAAACAAAACAGTCCTCCTCTCCATCGGTGATCGTCGGAAATCACCAGGCGCTGGCGAGTAATTACCAGCCGGGGCCCGGTGTTTGACAGCCGCGGACATGAATGGCAGCATGGGCGTGTGCGCACCCAATATATATATATATATATATATATATACACGTGATTTTGCTCACCCGTGCCAACATGTTACAGTATTTCTGCTATAGGGCGGTTGGGAAGCGGTTAACCAAAAATCAACACGGATGAAAATAACCATTGCAAAAGCAAAGATTATTTTCAGCCATATTAATTTCAGCTCTGTTTGGCTGCATTGCTGAAAATAATGATCTTTATAACTTATGAAACACAATAAGCAAAAGCAAGGAGGTGCTATTACACCTAATGCTGTTCACTGACCTGATTGGTGAGCCGAACAGATGAGTATTTTCCTCACATCTCCTCTGACCTTCCTCACTGATGGAGAGGACCTGTCAAAGGGCACAAAATATCTTAAATATAGATTTTTGCTTTAAAAATAGTTTAAAGGCCAGTTTAACCAAAATGCTTGGACAATGTCCATGACGACTACCAAGAGTCCCATCTATGCCTTAAACCACAAAAAAATGTGAAAATAAAAAAAGTCAAAATTCCATTCTGGAAGGGTGACGACCCCTGTCAGGTTTTTATTGCTGTGGTGTCCCCACTGCGGATATTGCCAATGTCCGGCCCCAGGCTGAGAAGTAAGCAAAAGAATAGGCCAGCTTGCGTGATTCAGCAGTAGGGGGTGCAAAAAAAAACTTTTTTCCCTTAGGTGCCAAAGGACTTCTCCCTGGTGATGACCCCCTCTATTGACCGTTCTCCACCAATTGGTGAGAAGTCCAAAGTTTTACAGTTGTCACCGAAACAAGAGAGGAAGGTAATTCTTCTAATGGAGACACCTGCTCTGGTGACAACTGTCTAAAGCCCCGTACAAACGATGAGAATATCAGACAAATGATCGTCCATTTTTTTTGCATGCTAATCTCATATCGAAAGTGAAGCGTTTACTAAAGTTACGAAAATTCTTGCCCGACAGAATAAAAATTCGAAAGTGATGTTATGTATATGTATTGTATTTGTATTGTATTTTCGGACGAAAACTGTTCTGATTAAACATAAATCGTACGACTTGGTATTGTACAAAACACATTTTCGTGCTTGTCCCTTCAAACTATTTCAGACGAAAGCTGTGGACTAACAATCAGATTATCATACGGTCGCTTCAAAAGCGGTATTTTTCGCACGATTTTCTGATTGTACGTACTAGGCTTAAAAATGCATCCCATCACCACCTGCATTGGAGAGGTTTCTCATTGTCTGTCATGTCTCCAAGAAGGGAAACGACCACAACAGGGACAGCAATGAAAAAAAAAAAGGCAGGGGTTCTAACCAGGGGCGGACTGACAACTCATGGGGCCCCCGGGCAATAGGGGATCATGGGGCCCCTGTGTCCTTGCCCAAACTCAAAAAAGCCTATGAAAAAGGTACCAGGGGCATCTCATGGGGCCCCCTACTGACCCCGGGCCCTCGGGCAGTGCCCGATTTTCAAAAATGGTCAGTCCGCCACTGGTTCTAACCATTCCTGCTCTGTCCAAAACTAAAAATTTGGTAATACTTTAATTTTTATTAGGTTTACAAGTACAGTAAAGGTCTTCCTCTCCAATTTGACCCAAAAACTATTTGTCACAAAATCTTGCTTTATTAACGAGGATGTGATTTCATAGTGTCAAATACTTACATGACGCAAGATGGCCTCTTCTCCCACAGCTTTCAGTAGTCCTTTAGTATCCACTTGTCCTAAGCGCAGGATGTATAGGGGGCGGCCATCTGAAATACAAACAGATACGATGAGGATAACATGGGAGGACCATGGGGATTCAGCTTCATATTCAGTATCATGAAGTCAACACTGTTCCCCCCCGATCAGCCAGTATCTTGTGTAATGTAGTATAGACTAATTGGCTAACAGTGCTGTATCATCCTCCTCCATTCCAAATCAAGAAGGGCAGGTAAATACAGGAGGCTAATAAAAAGACAGACTTACGGGTACTATTAAAAATAATTCTGAATACTTCTGATGATGTTTTAATTAAACATAATTGGGTTAAATGGGGGGATGGTATATCTGCCTATACTTTTGCTTTTAAGGTCAAGTTACCTTTAACGGAAAACACAAACTATTGCAAGGAATTGTCCCTACTGGAGTCTCAGAATTGGAAGAGGTCATTGGGTAACTCTACACAATGGTCCCCACAAGAAAAAAAAAAACTTAAATGTTACTTTAGTTGACCCTCTATGTTTTTGAGTTAAGGATGTTGCCTTCTGTAGCACACAAGGAACTGACCTTTATCGTGATAATGCCATCCCCCGGCATAGTACTCCTCGAGGATGGGTGGTGGATGCCATGTCTGTAGGATATAATCCACTTGGTATTGCTTGCGCCAGGACAGAGACTGGCAGAGCATCTCCCGAGCTTTCTCAAAGTTGAAGTCTCGAGCACGGAGGAAGCGCAAAATGTGCTCATCTTTGGGTATCTACGCAAAAAGAAGGGATAGTGATGAAAATACTTGAAAATAAGTTGGTAATCTTCCATCAATCAGGAAAGTGGAATACATAGAGACTGTATATCAGTACATTGCTGCAGGTCATCAGACCAGGTTAGGACACCATTAGGGAGCCCCAAAATAAGACAAGTTGGACCCATGATGATCAGAACAAATCAAGGTGAGTTTATGGCCATAAGGTACATTGCAATCACAGTTCATTAACACCAGGATGTATCCCTGATTCACCAAGTGCACCAGGTGGGACACATTGGAGGTTCATCAGAATACAGTACGTCCTCATGCGCACTTGACGTTTTTTACAGCGGCTGTATTTAGCTTTTGACATTTTTATCTACAGCCAGTAAACCCCCCCAGCATGTTATCCGATGTGTCCATACACACATAGACTGGAATCAATGTTTTTTGGCAAGGACGTTTTTTGGCTGGAAAAAAAAAACAGGACTAGTGGGTTTCTAGAGGAGTTTTTTAGCTGTAAAAACGCTCTAATGCTGAAAAACGCAGAAAAACCTGGCAAAACATGGTAAAATGCAGCAATCCGGCGGTTTTTTTTGGATTTTTTTTTACCAAAAAAATTATTTTTTTTGGTTAAAAAAAACCCTAAAAAACACAAACGCGGAAAAAACGTTGGAAAAACTGCTAATCGAGGCAAAACGCTAAAAAAACCTGAATAACTCACGTTTTTAACGTGACTTTACACAGCTAACGTTACCAACGTTATCAAAACGTCCAGTGTGCATGAGGGCTAAGGGGTTGTATACACTGGCATTTTAAGGCTTTTTTATTCAATACAAGCCAGGGCAAAATCAACTCAGAAGGATCTCAGAAGCATCTGAGCTGCAATCCAGCCAGTGTACACAAATGCAGTCAGGATGGATTCATGATTGAGCAAAATAGGCAAAAAGAATTAGGACAATACCATAGTTCAAGGGATATGCCCTAGAGCTTTGGACATCTCTCAATAGAAGTTATGCGGTTCCATTGGGTCATCAGGTAGTGGCATTCAGCATGGATGTGCTTTATCAAAATAAGTAGGGGTAGGTCCATGGTTTGTTAAAAAAGTCAAAGTATTTCATTTACCAAAATAGCTCAGGGGAAATTCTTGGTTTGTCAAAATAATTTTGTGACGGGTGATAGCCATAGTTATTCAGAATGGTTAAGGACTTGACCATAGTTCAGTATACGAGGTCTGGATGCATCAACGTAGGTCATGGGGCTGGATGCATCAGCGTAGGTCATGGGGCACCCATGGCTCATCAATGACTGGCCCTCAGCAGAGCTCAGAAAACAGCTATACTTCATCATCATACCAAATTCATGATTTGTCAAATAAATATCAAGGTAGGGTTCACTTAATTAGCCTCAAGGCAAGTCGTTGGTTTGTCAGAATCGCTTTGGACAGGCCAATAGTCACAGTTCTTTAGAATAGAGGAAGTGACCCTACTAGATTTGTGTGTGTTCAGGATCATTTGTCAGGAGATGTTTGCAGTTCAATCCACATTCCAGAACATAAACATGAAAACATATGAAAAAGAAAACTGGAGAGCTGATTGGCTACCATGCACAGCTGCACCAGATTCTGAGTGCTCCAGTTTTAGTAAATGTCACCCAAGTTGGCCAAAATAAATGACTCTAAAGTTTGTGGTCACTGTAAGGGTAACACCACCATGGATGCAGAATTTGGGACATCATAAAAAGATGAAAGCACTTCAGTGTTCAGCATTTACCAGTACCAATATTAATTTAAGGGCAGAGCCACCAAATGTATATTTAAAAGATGCTGCTGTGTAAAAAACAAAACAAAAACAAAAAAAAAAGCCTAAAAAAAAGATATATATAATACTTATCAGTCTGGCTGCTTTTGACTCCATTGTTGCAAAGTTATACTAGTTGACAGAAATACCCTGGTTGCATGCATTGCCCAGAGGCACACTACTGATGTAGAGGCCAACAGGTGGAATCACAACATTCAGGAACAGAATCGATTTAAAGTGGTTCTAAAGTCTCATGCATAAAAAAACCTTCTGTGTGTAGCAGCACCCCCAGCACTCCCCACCCCCCAAAACTTACCTGAGCCCCCTCTTGATGCAACCATGTCCATGAGAGCCTTGGTTCTCCGAGGACTCTCACTTCTGATTAGCCGAAGCAGCAGTCATTGGCTCCTGCTGCTATCACAGCCAGTGAGCCAATCCGGAGATGGAGGGGGTGGGGCCGAGCCACAGCTGTGTGTGAATGGACATGCTCAGGAGCATGCCTGCTTGGGTGCCTCCATAGCAAGTTGTTTGCTATGGGGGCACCCGACAGGAGGGAGGGGCTAGGAGCACTGGCAGGGGACCCGAGAAGAGGAGGATCCAGGCTACTGTGAAACCCACTGCACAAAGCAGGTAAGTATAGACAAGTTTGTTATTTGTAAGATAAAAAAGACTTCAGTATTACTTTAAGCTTTGGGAAGATGTTGGTGGGAAGCATCACTCCCTGACTTTGTAGATATCTGGAAGATTCTCAAAGCTAGACCAGCCTTTCATAACCTTTTCAACACAGAAGAGCGCTTGAAATAAATCTCCAATCTCAGGGAACCCCTGCTAAAAATGACTACATCTACAGCTCTTCATACATCAGTGTGGTGGTCAGTGGGAATAATGCTCCTCACACTTTTGGCCATTGGGAAGAATTCTCCTGCTACAGATAGCTAAAAAGATCAATGGTGTCAGTGGGAACTTATCTGAGAGGCAGAAATATCTCATTGCTCAAGAAACCCCTAGCAACCTCTGGAGAAACCCTAGGGTTCCACGGAACCTTGGTGGAGAAGCCCTGGTCCAGGCCAATCATGACTATAGAGAATTTTACAAAGAATATGTGACTGGAGGAGCAATAGTAGTGGCTTGAAGGCATGGAGTCAAGAACTCCAGTCAGGAGATCTTACTGTGGGAACCCCAAAGATCTATAAAAAGTGGCAGGTAATGTGTCATGATTGCTCCCTCAAAACATGTTCATGGCTAAAAATTCAAGATAAAATTTGCAGAACAGAAACAGCCGAGCGATAAACGATACTGCACGTTCTTACCTTGCCCTTGTGCGTTTCCTGCAGCCACTGCCGGAGGTGGATTAAGGTGCTTTCCTGCATTGGGGTGAGCTGTCCCAAATATCGCTCTATGTACTCAGCTTCCAATTTAATACCTAATAAATATCAACACACAAAAAATATTCCACTTAGTAAAATGGCATGTCCTAGAGCACAGATGTGGGTGATCGTTTGAGAGGACTGGGGGCTTAACGTGAACCCGTACAGCATTTTAAACTTTTAAAAATAAAAGTACTACCTAAACACATAGACCTCCAGATGTCTGCCTCTTCTGTGCCATTTTTAACTAGGTTTAAATGTATTTTTAGAACTGGAATTTCCCACCAGTAGCTGGAAAGGGTGCTATCTTTGGACTGCAGGATTCTAGATGACAGAATTTATCTGATGAGCTGACGTTGTGAAAAGTCAAGACCCAATGAGAAAGTGAAACTAATTCAGTGAGGGGCACAAAATACATTTTACTGTGTAATAAAGATAATATCATGCTTCTTGTAGTGTTGGCTCTTAACCACTTCCCGTCCGGCCCATGTATATAAACGGCCGGACGGGAGCAGTGCAGGGGCGGGTGGCTGTTTGTAAACGTCCTCCCCTCTCCCTGCTTGTGCGCACTCCCTGGAAGTGTGCAGCACCGCGATCCAGTGCCCGCTGTGTCCAGAGGACACAGCAGGACACAGATCGTTGTACAGGACCTCTGTGTGAGGTCCCGAACATGTTATCACTGATTGGCCAATCACATGAAGAGTAGTAAGCAAGATGTCACTTCTGACATTGCTTACTACGTGTGAAATTTGTGAATGATCACAGAGGTCACATGGTACAAGGCTATTCACAACAGCCTTGTGCCATGTGACAAGCTGTGACCAATCACAGCTCTCACAGTATTGCAGCCAGAAAGAAGGAAAAATGATTGCTTTTACAGCCTTTATGGGTGTAAAAGCAATCAGTGTAAAAAAAAAAAAAAATCTTCATCACCCCCCACAAGTAGTAGTGTCACTATGGTGACACTGTACTGCTAGGGGACGTATGTAAAAAAAAAACATAAATAAAAAAATAAAAAAATAAAATAAAAATGTAAAAATAAATTTAGAAAAATTATAATTTTTGGTTATAAACTAATTTGGGCAGTTTTTTTTTTTACTAAAAAGATAATTGAATACATTTTGGCCAAGATTTATGAAAAAAATATTATTTATTTGCAAAATTTTATAAGAAAAACACTTTTTTTCAAAATTCAAAAAAAATAAAAATACCACCAAAATAAAGTTTTATCGGTCTCAAAAAAAATTCATATGGGTACAGTGTTGCATGACCGCGCAATTGTCATTCAAAGTGTGATAGCACTGAAAGCTGAAAATTGTCCTGGACTGGAAGGGGGTGAAAGTGTCCGGACTTGAAGTGGTTAAATAAGACCTTCACAGGTTTAAAATGTAGTATAGGTCTACTCCAAGGGTCTGTGACAAAAAAAAATGTTGCGGTGTCGCAAGAGACCTTTCCATGTAGATAGCATGGGATCTAAACCTAAAATCTTTACTTCCTTGACTTACCATCTGGTTCAGAAGTCTGGTTGTGTCCTCCTGGCTCTCCTCTGACCAGTCCCAAGATAGATATCTCCTGCTGGTCAGCTCTGGAACCATCAATGTTGTAGAGGTGTCCTCTGATGATGCTCCCAGAAATGGGGTTATATCCCTCTGTTCCGCCAGGGGTCCATCGTGGGATGTGAGTGATTCCCTGAGATATCAACTCATTCAAGTAGAATTCAATGACCTCTTTTCCCTGCAAATGAGAGCATCTAATGTCACAGGGGCGGAGAAAACCATAAAAACAGTTGTTGAAGTGTAGCCAACATATGATATCAAGGCAGCCAAAGACAGACTAAAATTTCAACATATCAATTCACTAGGGGTTATGGCAAAGAGATCTCATTAATAAATGAATTAACTTGTGAGCCACTGGAGTCAACAATTTAATCAATTATTGTATTAGGTCGCAGGCTCCCTTGCTCACCCTCATATAATGTGTGCTAAATGGAAGATAATAAATAATTAGTTGCAGCGCTCTAATGCTAAATATATTCCAATTAAATTAACTTATACTTTGAAAGTGCATATTAAGTATGCCAACTCAATAATGTGTTATATGAAAATATAGATATCAACTTATAAATGACATCACCATAAAAGGTAAAATTGTGATCACACAGTGAAGGACCAAAAATGGAATCTCCATATATAAATATAAAAGTCCAATTGTGATATTAAATCAATATAAACGAAGAAAATTAATATATGTATAAATAAATATGTCCAATTGTGCAAGAAAATGTGAATATAAGTTCAGCAGAGAATAAGATGTCAATATAGTCTCATTCCAAGCAACCTGTAGTTGTATAACTGTGATTCTGCAACTTCTCTATGAGCCTGTGTGGATGTAGGGATTTCTCCCTCCTTGAACCTCTCCTCACTCCAATTCTCTATGTACAGTATCCTCGTGTGAACCATAAAAGAAAGGAAAGGATATATGGTGCCTTATCCAAGATGTGAAAAGCCTTTATTGTGCATCCATAATGCACTCACATTAATCAAGTTAAAATGCGCTTAACATGCAAATAACCGCTGGGTTAACGTAGCTTCATCTGGGGGATGTATGTATTTACGTTTCCCCTGTGGCGCAACGCGTTGGGGAGGGGCAGTGACGTCACCACGCATCTGTTCATCGATACGGCGAGTACTGATGGTGTGTGTCAACACACCCACGAGGCTGATCCTCACCGCACCCAGCGGTTATTTGCATGTTAAGCGCATTTTCACACAGCCTCATTTGTCAGGGCAGGAGACCTAATCTTTCTTTGCTGCAGTCAAGTAGCACCCCCACCCTGTGACTGGACAGTGAAAGAAGAAGCAGCACACAGATGAACTCATCTCCCAACCACTCTGCTCTCTCCTCATGTCAATATGCTCCTCATGCTGCTTTTACCTCTCCCTATCTGAGCTCTGCTATACAGGGTGTGCAAAGGCTGATACTAAGAGAATTCAAGTACTTACACCACTTACATAACCAGATTTCAGAAGCAGGTTTGTGAGAATTAAATTACTACTGACTTTTTGACACATTTGGCTTTCAGTATGTGAGAAGCAGAAGAAACCTGCAGTGGACATGTTTCCTATTAAACAAAAGCAGGGGTTCCCAGATCACCGGGGTACTGAAAAAATAAAACCAGGTAGCGTACACTGGCGCTCCAGAGCAATGTATGAATGAAAGCCCCTCTGTGGGTAGCCTGTCCTCCCAGTATCCAATGTAAAGCTTTAGGTTCAATATTGAATGGAGCACACCTTTATAAAAAGAACGAAAAGCATTTATTTGGGAGGACTCACCCGCTTGATGTTGGCGGTGTATTGCTTCATGGCGATCTTTTCCACCGTGCTCTCAAAGCCAAAGAAAGACTTGATGTCCAGAGAGAGCCGTCTGCTCAAAGCACGTCCATTCCTCATTGTCGGGGTGAACCTAGAACCCAAAAACAACTCCAATGTCACTGCTGTCATTGTCGGGACCTGAACCCTTGCCAATTTTGATTTTTCAACAACACCTGGTAGAGCTTTTAAAATATTAACTAGAGTTAGGTTTTAACATAAAACTTCATAGGTTTAGGTTTAGTTTTAATTTACTTTTTATATGTTTATACATTTTCAAGTATTGTTTAATATCTGTCTTTTTTTTTCCCCAAGATAATTACAAACTCTGTTTTGGATACACACATGGAATACAAGACTAAGGATTCTCAGAGTGTTAGCCACAGCTTGCTTTGTGGTTCCCTTTGTCTGATTGAAGCTGGTGAATATTGAGCTAAAGAGGGGCCTCTCTTGCACCTATTGTCCAACACCCCTGGTAGTGGTGACAGGAGATGTGAGGACACAGAGTGGCACGAGGGCTGATGTTGTGGGCCCTGCCACCTGACATACAACTGTGGACCGGCATCTCTACTACAGCTTCACGGCCTGGTGCCCACTGCGTATGTGCGAGTTGCGCCGCACCTCCTGAGTGGTCCGGCAGTCTCCAGGGACCTGTGACAGTTCCCAGGAGGCTGCGGGAGCAAGGAGGGGGCCGAACTTCCATCTCACTTCACCGCGGCGAACATGCGCATGCAATGGTTTTCTTGTATTAGCTCACACTGAACTTTTCTTACAGAAACCTCCTACTGAGCTGATACAGAAAATGTCACTGACGGTATACCCCATGGACCCTAGGTCCCAGGGAACACGTATGGACTGATGACTTTGTTTTAAAGTAAATGATTTGTTGCATATCATCTCGCTCATGCTCGCTTAACTCAATTTTTGTTGTATTCTCCCTGCGTGGGTGATCTACTGTACACTATACTTTTGCGGCAAAAATAAATATTATTGTACCAAAAAAGGTCCCCAATGTGATGTTCAGCATAGTAGCCATGTTATTGATGTAAAAAGGAGACTAATGTGCCACCTGCTGGCTGGGTAAAAGACTACAGGTATATGCATTAGACTTCAATATCCAAGATTTCCTACCTACTTGACTTTAAAAAATGTAATTATATATACACAGGCGTACCTTGGTTTACGAATTTAATTAGTTCTGCAGGACTTTTCATAGTGCAAAAAATTTATAAACCGAAACGCAGTCTCCAATATGAATGCATTGAAAACCAATTAATCCGTTCTGGAGGTCAGAAAAAAGTAAAAAAAATGTATTTTGTCTGTTGAAAACTCTTTATAAAGTGCACTTTAAAGTCATAAATACTGTACAGGGACATGATTAAAAATTAATTTGTAAATGCACTGAAAACCAATGAATCCGTTCCGGAGGTCAGAAAAAAGTCAAAAAAAGTTTTATCTGTTCAAAACTCTTTATAAAGTGCACTTTAAAGGCATAAAGGGACATGATTAAAAAAATGTGTAAATGCACTGAAAACCAATTAATCCTTTCCGGAGGTCAGAAGTAAAAAAAAAAAGTTTATAAAGTGCACTTTAAAAGGCATAGTACTGTACAGGGACATGATTAAAAAAAAAACAATCAATTCATAAATGCATTGAAAACCAATTAATCCGTTCGTATTGCGAAAAAATTTGTAAACGGAGGCGTTATTTTCAATGGATTTTCATTCATAAACTGAAAATTATGTTAACCGAGGCGTTCGTAAACTGAGGTACGCATGTGCATATATATATATATATATATATACACACACACACACACACACTTTTTTTTTTTTTTCTTGTTCATTGTAATAAAAACAAACAATAAAATGTGTATATATACCCTGTGTATATAAAGTTACATGGAAACAAAAAAATACACTTCTCATAGTGTAGATAGTATACAACACATTTAATAAGCAGGTGCCGCACTTAACAAGCATAAATATCTTAAAACATTTCAGTATAGTCACCAATCGGCATCAAGAATTCGAACTTTGGAATAAAAACATACGTGATGACGTCACATGATAGATATATATATACATATTAAGTGTATATATATATCTATCACATGTCACATCTAACACATGTTCTATGTTGGAAGTTCCTGTAACACATTATGACCACACGAGGGCACAATTAGCCTCCAAATGGCTAAATGTTGCACTAGAAAGAACACCAGCACAAATTTCTTATTTCCAGCAACAAAAATGACAAGTGACATCGGGCTCCATTCCCTAAGGCAGAGCGCATGCAGTATTTAAGTGATCTGACACATTTTTCCCCAAATATCCCATGTAATGCTGAAAGTATCAAATCACTATCCCTTTATGCGGTATTTAATTCAAAAAGCAAAAACGTTTGGTAAATACCGCATAAAGCGGCATTAAAGTCAGTTCACTACAGGAAATAAATAAATAAATGCAGTATATATGTAGTGGTTCAGGTATGTGATAGAGACAGGCAATGGGGGAGAGAGAAGTAGAGGGGCAAGGGGAGAGGTGTTGGAGGGGGGGGGTGAGGCAAGAGAGATAGGAGCGGTAGAGGGTGAGGGGAGAGAGGTAAGAGAGGTAGATGGGTGCAGGGTGAGGCGAGAGAGGGGACGGGAGGAGGGAAAGGGAGAGGCGAGGGAAGAGATAGGGGAGATAGATAGATTTAAAAAATCTATAGATTAGATAAAAAAATTAAAATAATAAATACGCCAAACTTACCTGCTCTGTGAAATGGTATTGCACAGAGCGGCCCTGAACCTCCTCTTCTGGGGTCCCCCACTGGCGTTATCTGCCCGTTCTCTTCTGTGTGTGCTACTATAGCAAGCTATATGGCAAGGGAACAGATGTTCAGGTCCAGTCCCAAGCCGGGCTGTGCGCATCTATAGACACACACAGCACCCCACCCCCTGCTCCCCCCCTCACAGGATTTGATTGACAGCAGCAGCAGCAGCCAGTGGCTGCCAATTCTCTCAAGAGTCTCCAGTGAGAGCAGGGAGTGAAGAAAGAAGAATTTGGGGACATGGGGGTTTGGGAAGTTTGGGAAGCAAGTGGTGAAAAAAACTTTATTACTTTAATTTGGGAAATGCATTAAAGTGTTACTAAAGCCCTGGACCCCACATTCACTATATTTGTCTCCCCGGACCTGCAGGCACTATATCCAGCCTCCCCGGACCCTGCATTCACTATATCTGGTCTCCCCGGACCCTGCATTCACTATATCCGGTCTCTCCGGACCCTGCATTCACTATATCCGGTCTCCCCGGACCCCACATTCACTATATCTGGCCTCCCCGGGCCCCGCATTCACTATATCTGGCCTCCCCGGACCCTGCATTCACTATATCCTGCCTCCCCGGACCCTGCATTCACTATATCCGATCTCCCCGGACCCTGCATTCACTATATCCGGTCTCTCCCGGACCCTGTATTTACTATATCCTGTCTCCCCGGACCCCGCATTCACTATATCCTGTCTCCCCGGACCCTGTATTCACTATATCCGGTCTCCCAGGACCCTGCATTCACTATATCCGGTCTCCCCGGACCCCGCATTCACTATATCTGGTCTCCCCGGACCCCGCATTCACTATATCCGCTCTCCCCGGACCCTGCATTCACTATATCTGGTCTCCCCCGGACCCTGCATTCACTATATCAAGCCTCCCCCGGACCCTGCATTCACTATATCTGGTTTCCCCGGACCCTGCATTCACTATATCCGGTCTCCCCGAAACCTGCATTCGCTATATCCGGTCTCCCCGGATCCTGCATTCACTATATCCGGTCTCTCCGGACCCTGCATTCATTATATCTGGTCTTCCTGGACCCTGCATTCACTATATCTGGTCTCCCGGACCCTGCATTCACTATATCCGATCTCCTCGGACCCTGCATTCACTATATATCCGGTCTCTCCGGACCCTGCATTCACTATATCCGGTCTCTCCGGACCCTGCATTCACTATATCCGGTCTCCTCGGACCCTGCATTCATTATATCTGGTCTTCCTGGACCCTGCATTCACTATATCTGGTCTCCCCGGACCCTGCATTCACTATATCTGGTCTCCCCGGACCCCGCATTCACTATATCCGCTCTCCCCGGACCCTGCATTCACCATATCTGGTCTCCCCGGACCCCGCATTCACTATATCCGGTCTCCCACAATACACACAACATGGAAATGTAATTATTTTAGTAAATCTAAACTGCTAATTACCTGTTCTCATCAGCAGTATAAAGCAGTCTTGTGAGCACTTGTTAAAGCTTGTCGATGGCGTTTTCTTTCTGCTCTGACTATCTTATGAGGCTGCATGACCCCTCACCCTCTGTCTGGACAGTGCTGATTGGCCCTGTGCTGATCACATGCACCCTCCCAAAGAAAAAAAAAAAACTCTCTGGCAATACACACCAAACTGAGCATGTGCAGTTTGCCCCCAATGCTCTGTTGTATCAACAGTTGGATTGGGGTCAGCAGAAGAAGGGGAGAATCAGAGAAGACAGGATCAAACAGCCTTTTTTACACAATACAGAGGATTAACCCCAGCAACTGAGCCTGTGCAGAATGGCTACAGTTCAGTATGTCTTATCAGGTGGACATTTGAACAAGAGGAGGAGCAGAGAAGTCAGGATCAAAAGGCCTTTTTACACAATGCAGAGGATTAACCCCTTAGGTTCCACAGTGAGTATAACCAGCATGCTTTACTGCATCTACAGACTGATTGTACTGTTGTGGGTTTAGTAACGATTTAGGTTAAAAAAAATGTTTCAACTGTAGAACCACTTTAATGGAGTGAAAATGATTAAAAAAAAATATTCTTAAAGAGGCGATTTAAGGAAATACAATGGTAAACTCAAACATCAAACAGGCCATTATAAATACCTAAAAGTGTCAAATGAACAAAAAACGGAGAAGATCAAAGTCACATGGAGAGTTTTTCGGCTTTTACAAACAGGCCTTAGAAATATGGGGAAAAATTCCAACTCACTCGATCAGACAAATCATAACGTGTAATCCAGAGCGAATCCCTATCAGTGACTTCACTGGGAAATTCCTGAC